GCGGCGGCCGCCTCTTTGGCCAGGCAGACAGGCAGGCAGGCCTACGAGCGGAGCGCCGAGCGCCCGAGCGTGTTTCCCGGCCTCCCCTCCCTCGCTCCCTCCGTCGCCAGGCGCGGCCAGTGGAGGGCCGAGGGCGTCGTCGCCTCCCCTCGGCCGGGCGCCGGGAAGATGGCGCTGTCCAGGGGGCTGCGGTGCTGCCAGCGGGTCTTCGGCTGGGTGCCCGTCCTCCTCATCGCCCTGGTCGCCCTCTGGTCCTACTACGCCTACGTCTTCGAGCTCTGCCTGGGTGAGAGGACGGGAGGGGAGGGAGGGGGAGGGGTCTCCTCCACCCGGATTTACCTGGGTGTCAAGCCCTACAATACAACACAACACACACAGACACACAGACACAAGCCAGGGCTCCTTGGGAGGCCATGGACTACAAAGTCCATGCGCCGCCCCCCTTAGGTGCGTGCGATGGGAGATGTAGTCCCCCCGCGGGGAGAGGGCGCGTCGCTCCTCCTGAGGACACGCCGGAGCTTTTAGGACCCCACCCCACCCCCACCCACCCCCTCTCTTTTGGACTACAGCGCCCCGACTGACCCAGCCCCTGGGAGGCCATGGGCTTTGTAGTCCAGCACCTCTGGGCTACACCTCAGGCTCGGGGATTCTTTTTTTGGGGGGGTTGCAGTCCAGATGATGGGTGGGCATCAGAGAGAGGGAGGGAGGGGGGGGAAAGGGTTCAGCCCCTGACTCCCAGTCTTTACCAGGGAGGAAGCCTCGGGGGGGGGGCAAGCAAAAGGGTTTGGCTTCTCTTGGTCAAATGTGTTGCAAGGCAGCAGGACCCTGTGCAGGGCAAGGCCGGCTGAATTGGGGGGGGGAAGGTGGGGTGTGTGTGTTTTGATTCCTCCCGGGGGGGGGGAAGCCATCTCAGGCCATCTCCTCCTTCCCAGGGAGCCCCCAGAAGACACCCACGAAAGGTCTGAGTCCCTTTTGCCCAGAAAACCCTGGGAAGGGTCGCCATAAAGTCAGGATGGACTTAACAGCGTGCAGTTATGATGATGGTGGTGGTGGTGATAAGGGAGCCTGGATGATGATAAGGGAGCCTCCATTGAGTTAGGTAGAGGTTAGGGGGTTCGATTCCCCCCCCCAGTGTGCCTCCTGTGAGTAGAACCAGCCTGGGTGGCCTTGGGCCAGCTGCACCGTCCCAAGAAGAAAGGAAGGGTAAACCATTTCCGAATACTCTCTACCTAGAAAACCCTGGAAAGAGTTGCCATAGGTTAGAACTGCCTTGATGGAACATTGTTGTTGTTGTTGATGATGATGATGATATAACAATACCCATTCCCTCCCTGACCAACCAGTAGGAAAAGGTATGGGGTCAGGGTTTACTGGTAAACCCTGAAGGAACAGATCCAGGAATGTGACCCATCTTGTCCCACCAGGCTATCTGCACGTGGCCAAAGCCAGGTGGCATCTTCAGGCCCAAAGACCTCTTCAGACTCTTTGAGTTTCCACCGTCTCACTGCACTTCCTTAGCTGTTAATAGTTGGCGGTTACCTGGGAGAGGAGGGGAGGGTGATGGAAGAGCCCCTTTTGGCAGCAGGCGGACGCTTCTCTCATGCCTACACCCGCCACACGCGACTTGTCGTCTCCCCTTTGTGGCGTTGATGCAAGCTGGCGGCCTGCACGCTCCGACATTGATTTGCTGGTTGACCTTTATTGACTGAATCTCACTTATTCCCAGTTTTCAAGAGTTTATTTTCAGCTGCTTAGTGCTGCTTCTGCTTTCAAATTGTTGACCTTTCCCTCTTGTCTTGGAAAAATAATCTTTCTTTCCCTTTCCCGTCTCTTCCGTGTAGTTGTGTGCTTGTGTACCCATTGTCTCTGAGTGCATTTAAGAACATACAAAGCCACGTTCTATTTATGCATCTGATGCAGTCTTGTTGATACCAGATGTTTGACTAGCCTCTCAAGCAAGTTTTCCATGGTATTCTATTTATTTATTTATTTATTTATTTATTCATTCATTCATTCATTCATTCATTCATTCATTCATTCATTCATTCATTCATTCTGTTTTTTAGAAATATTGAACCTGAGACTTTCGTATGTGCCTACAGCCCTTTTCCATTTGATGAGGTCAGCCGTGTCCCACAATAGGTTACACCACAAATTATGGGAAGAACAAATTATACAGTATATAGCCGCCTTCTTATGTCTGAGGAAATGGGCTTGATCCATAAAAGGTCGCGTTAAAATGGAGCAGCTCGTTTTTAAGATGCCACAATCTTTTTGTCTTTTGCTGATTTATTTTTTGTTCCGTTTTGTTTCTTGTGCAGTATGCCAGAAATTAAGTCGCTTCTCGGCTCTCTGGTGTTTTTTTTCCCCCCCAAGAAGGGAGGTGGACTCCTTTGTGAAATTCCTCTGGATAAAGTGAACAGCCCAAAAAATGCCGGCCGTTCTGGACACGGGATTGCCTTCTGTGTTCCAGAGAGAGTTTTTTTTTCCTCTGTGATGTGGTGGGAATTTGGTGGAACCCAGAACGCTGACCTCACTTCCTGGCATAACCCGATGGTTTTGCCTTTTGGTTGTTGTGGGTTTTTCGGGCTCTTTGGCTCTTTGTTCTGAAGGTTATTCTTCCTAACGTTTCGCCAGTCTCTGTGGCCATGGGCCTCTTCAGGGGACAGCACTCTGTGCTCTGTTGCAGTTGGCTTGGGAGTGGAAGTGGTTTTGCTTTTTATCCGTCTGCAGTCGGCACGCCCTCGTGATTCAAACCTGTGTTTATGAAATGCAGCATACAGTCTGTGGAACGAATGTTGGGTTATCTCCATTCGTGGGAGCAATGGACTGGAGAACCTTCAACATTTCTTCCCTGCGTTATCGTGCGTCTATATCCAGGGTGACAGCAAAAAAATTTTTTAAAAAATTTAAAAAGTGGAGGTCTTAAAACTGCATCCTTTCCATGAAAACACAGGCCTGCAGATATGTCTAGCATCCACTCATTCTGTGTAAAATTGGACACTATGTTCTACCTGCAGGAAAATTATCTTTGTGTGGTACGGTTGTGATCTACAGGTGGAAGAGGCTGATGAGGGTCTGGATTTGGTGTGATCACAGTGCAGATCATGGTCACTTGTCTCTTTATCAGCTTGAAGGCAGTTTCCTTAAAAGCTTGGAGTGGGTGCAAGTTGACCAATGGATGCCCAACCCAGATAGGGATGCTAAGTGATAAGCTCTTGATGCAGAGAGCTGTATCCTTATTGAGTTCCTGCTGAAAGGGAAGTTCCCACAGATTTGTAGGGCAGGATTGAGCCAGTTGTGCAACGGTGCTGTTATGCAACCGGAAGGCGGGTGGGTGTCCTTCGCAGAAATTGACTCGTAAGCCGACAACACAATGACCAGTGTGACTACACTGGTGGGGACTTCCCACCCCGGGGAAGTTCCAGCTCTTAGCGTGACATCTGCTTAGACTTGCACCCTTCGCCTTTTGCTCCCTCAGAGACAGGCAAGGGCCTGGAATCAACGTGGCCGGGAAGCTCTCAGTCTCGAGGGACTGTCTCCTCCCATTAAACATCAGGGGGGGCCCTTTCTCTCGGTCCCACCACCTTCACAGGTGCATTTGGTGGGAACACAGGAAAGGGCTTCCTCTCTGTGGCGGCTCCCAGACTGTGGAACTCCCTCCCACAACGTGTAACATACAAGGCCCAGAACAAATAGGGTTTCGTCATGACAAGTCTACCCTTGACCATTGTGCAGTATTGTCACACTTAGTTTCCAAATACAGTGCGAAATATCGGAATGAACTCTTCGCTGCCTTTTTGGACCTTAAGGCGGCATTTGACTCAGTCCCGAGAGAGTTGCTGTGGGCCAAGTTGGCCAGGTTGAATATAGATCCCAGACTGCTCTTCCTGATTAAAAACCTATACTCATCCACTAGTTGCCAAGTCAGGTATAATCTTCAGGGGAACTTAACTCCGGGATATAGATATACAGTAGATATAGATATAGATAGATAGAGAGAGATAGGGAGAGAGAGAGGGAGATTTAATACAGGCCACCATAAGAATTTTTGTGTGTTATTTAAACTTGTCTTCTTTTCTCTTCCAGTGACTGTGACCAATGAAATAGAAAAAGGTACGTGGATATTTATCCCATTACATCAGGTTTTTTTTTCTTTTTTCAAAATATTGCTGGTCCACTTAAAAAAAGGAAAGGTGCTTTGAAACCACCTTTTAAAGAAGAGAACCGGAAAGCAGACCACGGTCGAGCTGGCCTGTTTTGCTGCCTAGCAACAGAGGAGGTGGTATTTCTCTAATTCAGAATGATTATTTCCCCCCCTCCCTCTCCTTTAGTGGCCTACCTCGTCATATTCCATGTGATTTTTGTCTTCTTCGTATGGACATACTGGAAGACTATATTCACTCCTCCCCAGCAACCGGACAAAAAGGTAAAACTCAGAGACCCACGAGATCGGTGGTTTCCAAATCTGGCTTCCCCCAAGGCGGCAGCTGGATGTGCATTCCGTACGTCCTAGCCAGCGTGGCCAAGGGTGAGGGATTGTGGGTGTCGTAGTCCAGCAACCACCAGGGTTTCAGGTATTGGAACTACTACTGGGCAGTGTGGTTCCAGCCAAGATGAGAATCTGTGTCTCAAGCCTCCAAGCACACGAGGCCCACCCGGCCGTGTCCTCTGCTCCCCTTCTAATTGGAGAGCAGACCGATCAATAAGCCTCCTTCCGACCTGGTCAACCTAACTCGTTCTCTTCTGCCTCCAGTTCCACATGTCTTACACGGACAAAGAGCGCTACGAGAATGAAGAGAGGCTGGAGGGCCAGAGGCAGATCCTGGCCGAAATGGCCCAGAAGCTGCCCGTGTACACCAGAACCAGGAACGGCGGTGAGTGGGGCCGGCAGCTTTGGAGGACGATGGTCTTGTCAAGTTGATCAGAGCAGCCGATGCTGGAAAGCCCAGTTATCCCTTCCACCGCCAGCCTTTGATCTTAAGGCCCTTAAGGCAGAGAGAATCAGATTAGTTTAACAGGATTTCTTTTCTAACTTCCTCCCCCAGCTGTCCGGCGAAGGAGGAAATCCCATAAAGATGTTCTCGATTTGTAAGGAAAGTGACGGACACGATCTCTAACCGTACGCAGGCTTAGTTCCTGCCTGTTGTGTCCCTGGGGAAACCCAATTGGGTTTCAAGGGTGGGCCGAACTGGAGCAGATCCAGGGAATGACTGGGAATGGGACAGTGTTTTCACTCGTAAGTCCCTGGAGCTCAAATCCTCTTGCCTAACATAACACCCAAACCCCTGCCGGGGACAGACTGCTCCACGCCAACAAGTCCCCGCTTTGATTCCTCGTTGCTTCCTCTTCGTCTCATTGCTTGCAACCCAGAATCAAAAGGGGATGTTTTTCATCAGTGGCCGTCTTCCATGGAGTTCGGCATGGTTCCTCCTACGTGGCATAACTTATGCAAGAGGATTTGGGCCATTGCTTCTGTCCTCATTGAAACCGGCAGCTCTCTTGGCTTATTCTTCTTATTGTTACTGTAATGATTATGTTTCAAAGCCTCATCTCTGTGATCCTCTCCCCAGCCCTGCCTGAGAGGCCTCACGGTCCAGCTATTTTGGATTTGTGTTTCTAATCTGGCAAAGCTCAGAAACCAGGGGCTGGCTCGCTTATAGGTACCAGGCCGGCCGGGCGGCATGTTCGTTCCGGATTCGGTTCCTAATGATGTTTTTGTGTCCGCTCTTTCCCAGCCATCCGATTCTGTGATAGATGCCAACTCATCAAGCCGGACCGCTGCCACCATTGCTCCATATGTGCCATGTAAGTTTCCTCCGACATCCGGTTCTAAGAGAGCTGGAGAGGTTGCACTTGGGGGGGGTGCTGGGGGGGGGACGCTGTGGGCCGTCCCTCTTCAGTGTACTTTCCTGCTGTGCTTGGGGTATCTGTGGGGATCCTCAGCATGAAGTGGAGATAGTTCTTGGGGGGAGGGCAATGGTAAGACTTGAACTGACTTAGAAACCACACGGCGTTTTAAGATGGCTCACAGGGTTTCTGGGTCCAACCCCAAGGGGTTTGGTCCTTCCGGGCTGTTGACGCATCCCTTCCTGGTAGCCTGATCCTTTCCCCCCCCTCTCTCTCTCTTTGCAGGTGTGTCTTAAAAATGGACCATCACTGCCCTTGGTGAGTGAGTCGCTCTAGAGAGAAACACTGCTCTGGGTGGCCGCTTCCACCCATCCCGGCGAACACCATGTTTCCTTCTCCCAAGGGGTCCGGTTCCCCAAAGCGTTTTGAGGGTGCCAAAGAGGCACAGGGCTGGGTGACTCCTTTCTGTTAGACCAGTGTTTAGGATTCGGGATCAGAGAAGCCGGGTGCTTTTGTCCGCATTCACCTCCTGGGCATGCCGACCTTTGGAGTGGCTCGAATATAACCTTGGGATGCCCGGTGTTGGTGAGCGGATGTCGTTGTGAGACAGTCAGGAACACAACCCCCTGGCTTCTCAGCGGAAGCTAGGATGTCTGCTGGCTGCCTGATCCGGTCCCCGTCCAAACTGGAAGGCCCACAGATGGGTTCCTGGTCTGTCCTGCAACCTTTGGGAGGCAGTTGGCTCAGTTCTTGTCCGGGTCTGGATCGATGCGTTTCTGGATCTCAAGGGCAATCAAACAAAACAAACATACATTCCTGCAAGCAGGAAATTGAAACAGCTACGCTTTAGCAGGAATGTGCGCTCTACCTTCACGGTGACACAAGGACTATCATAACAAGGCACTTCATTTTCTAGAAAGGGAAGGTTTTTAACACTAGCAGTAACAAGTTACTTTTGGGGATTATTCTCTTTTAGGGTGGGTGTGTGCGCACGCTGATTGGCAATGTAAGAAATTGTGCTTCAACTGTAACTTTGAGAACACGAGAAAAGCCATGTTGGATGGCACCAGAGTCTTATCTATTTGGTTCCCACCATGGCCAACATCATCTTGTGGCAGTGAGTTCCACAGTTTAGCTTTGCACTGCATGAAGAAATGCTTCATTTTATTTGTCTTGGATCCTCCACTTCTGTGGGTGACCCTGTTCAACTGTAGCATTAAAAGATAGAGAGAGAGAGAGAGAAAGTCTTTTCTGTTGTCACTGTGTCCACACTAGGTATAATTTTATACACGTCCACCATAACTCCCAATACTGTACTTGCCTTTTTTCTTTCTTTTCCCCTGAGCTTAACCTTCCCCCAGTTCTGCCCGGGCCTCACTGGAGGCTTGCTCCAATACTTTGCCCTCGGCATCCTTACACTAATTTCTTAAAATTTGATTTAAATCCTTGGCTCTCTAGGGTAAACAACTGCATTGGATTTTCGAACTACAAATTCTTCCTGCTGTTTTTAGCCTACTCCCTCTTGTACTGCGTGTATATTTCTGCAACCGTGTTCAAGTATTTCATCAAGTATTGGACGGTAAGTTTGGAAGCCTAGCTTTTTTTAATGTGGTGGGTCATTTTATAGTTTTTGTGTCTCACTTTCATTGGGGTTTCGAACAGTCTGGTTTTTAAAACAAAAGTAAGGGGTTCTCGCTGTGCAGGGTAAAACATGCGGTTCCATCTGTGGAACCACAGCGGCACAGTTTTAGTATGAGTGCTGCTTTTTTTAAATCCTGTTATTGCAAGTGGTTTTCAAAAATAACACCAAGATGGATCAATGCCTATCAATTCTGCCCCATAGCACTTAAGGGCACTCTCTGGGCGGTTTATGAATTAATTATGCAGGCTACACATTGCTCCCCCTTCAGGCCAGCTGGGGACTCATTTACCGACCACAGAAGGATGGAAGGCTGAGTGAACCTTGAGCAGTCTACCTGGGATTGAACCCCCAGGTCGTGAGCAGAGTTTTGGCTGCAGGGCTGCCCTTTAATCACTGCGCCACAAAGCTCCACAAGGGGTTGGGGCCACAGATAGACCAGCAGAGCTCTGCAGCACAGGAGTTGTTGCCCGAGCAAAACAGCCTACGTCGGGTAACGGGTGCGTCCTTCTTGCTGTGGTTGGCTCAGAACGGCCATAGGCATCTGAGGCTTCTGACGCTTTCACTGCAATACCTTCAGTAAACAATCGTGAATTTTTAAAAAAATCCTGTCATTTTTCTCCTCATCCTCTTTCGGCTTTCCTTGACAGGGAGAACTGACCAACGGACGTTCCAAGTTCCACATCCTTTTTCTCCTTTTTGTGGCAATCATGTTTTTCGTTAGCCTCCTGTTCCTCTTTGGCTACCACTGCTGGCTCGTCAGTCAGAACAGGTCTACATTGGGTAAGATATGCAACAGGATTTGGTTAAGGCAGGCGGTCGGGGGGCTCACAATGGGACTGATGGATCGCCACAAAGATCCAGTGTTCTCTCCTGACATGCAAGGAGCAGATCACGTGATGCTTCGAGAGCCATAGCTCCCCACCTTGGGTCGCTCGGCTGTCCTTGAACTGCAACTCCCAGAAACTCCAGCCAGCACAATTTGTGGTGAAGGCTTCTGGGAGTTGTAGTTCAAGAACACCTGGACAACCGAATGTTGGGGCAGGTGTACATTCAAAGCCCTCAGAATGGGAACTGCCCCATAGCCACAGGCTGAAATGTGGGTCCCTACCAATGCTTGATGTGTTTAGTTGGTACCCAGGAAGGGATCTTTCTGCCCAACTGGGAGTTGTAGTTCAAGAACACCTGGGCAACCCAATGTTGGTGGAGAAATGTGGGTCCCTACCAATGCTTTATGTCTTTAGTTGGTACCCGGGAAGGGATCTTTCTGCCCAGTGGCATCTGGACATGGGTATCTGTTGCCTCAAGGAACATGCCTGGCTCACTCTCTGCCACTTTTGGGGGATGTCAGTTGAAGGAAGAGCTGGGCGTACCAAGACTTTTGTCATTAGAATCTGGTCCCCCTGACTTGATAAAACAGTTTGCCTCACGCTGCATATTGGAAATCAGCTTTTGTTGTGTGATTCATCAGTGGGAGGCAAACACGGGGTTCATTTGTAAGTCTGATTGCTCAGGCAAGGGGCTTTGAAGGAATTAGGTATCTGGAGGGAAAACTTTCTAAAGGCAGGAAACACGTGTTTGACCTGAAAAGTTCTCGGCTGTCAGGTTCAGCCCACGAGAAAGAGACATCATTCTTCACCACTTGTGTTTCCCTGCAGAGGCTTTCTCTGCCCCGGTGTTTCCAAACGGCCCGGATAAAAACGGATTCAACCTCGGCTTTGTGAAAAACCTCCAACAGGTGTTTGGAGAGAAAAAGAAACTCTGGCTGCTACCTGTTGCATCCAGGTATGTGGGCGGCAACTCACCCAGGAGCCACAGAGCAGAGGTGAGGCTCGGATAAAGGCGAGCAGAGTCCGTCCTGCAGGGATGAGAACTGCACGAGCAGGCAGGGAGCCGCTGTCGGGGGGGGGGTCTGGGTGAGAAAAGCCGGGGTGAAAAGTTTGGAGGTCAGCATAAGAGTCTCTCTTTCTCTCACACACACACCAGAGAGAGAGAGAGAGAGAGAGATATGCCTGGATTTTGTATCCCGCACTCAAAACGGTTCCCCGCTCTCATGGGCTACCTCTGTCTCTCCAGCCAGGGTGATGGGCACTTTTTCCCAACCCGCACTTTGAGTGAAGCGCGTAATCCGCTGCTGGCGAACGAGGAGCAGTGGGAGGAAGACGGCTCGGAGGACGACAGCCACGGTAAGGGGGCTGCCTGCGCACAGATCGGTTCCAGGGGTGGGTGGGGGCCCATTCGTTCATAGAGCCACAGGAAGGCCGTGGCGAAAGAGATCGAATCACCCTGAACGTATAGCCGATGGTGGCATCCGATTTTGGCTGCTGAGCCATGATCTATCCAGATAGTGTTTCAGTGGGAGTGGAGAGACTAGGTAGGTCTGGTGGAGGGGGGAAGCGAGTGTCGTGACGTGAGGAGCCTAAAACCATCAGCGTTCAGACATTGGCCCCTCCTGACCCTCTCTGCGTACCCAACAAAGCTCACCAAGGCTCTGCAAAACAGGCCAGGTCGCCTTGAGAAACCCCGATGCACTCCGAGCCCTTGAAACGCCCTGCCGGGAAACATGCGTCTTTCCTGCAATGCGATGCTTCCTGCTTGGCGCTGGGTAGCTTTCGTGCTGACCTTGTTCAGCGCTCCTGAAGATGCTGAAGGATGCTTCATGGCAACATTTAATAAGCCGTCTCACCCAAGGCGCTCACTTCAGAAGCTGGCACGGCTGGAATAAGTACCGTTGCCTGAGTCTCGTGAGTCCAGCTGAAGTGGTTCGCTTCCGCACGGGCTCCGAAGAGGGATTCTGAGGGCCTTTCATCAAGGCACCTGCATCGGAGCAGCTTCTCCCCTCACGCTCGGCAACTTTGATTGTGGAACACGGAACCTCCTCCACCCTGTACTTTGTGTGCGCATGCATGTGTGTGTTTCGTTAGAATTAAGAAGTTTCTCTAAGGAAAACCTTGCAAAAATGCTGTGGCAGACCTTGCCCTTAGGCAGAGTCTAGAGATTCTGGCTGTCACAAAGGGGCAGAAAACAGACTCACTTGCCTGATGGTTATTGTAGATTTTTGTATCCCAGAGGGCTGAGCAGAAGTCACCAGTAGCTGACATTCATTGTCTGGAAGGGCGGCTCCCCTTCCCCTTCGTGGGCTCACTGTTCATCTCTTCCTTGGCTCCTTTCACTTCCCCTAAAAATATTTATTTTAGTGGTTTAGATCCCATCTTCCTCCACCTCCATGAACCCAACAGAGAAGGCATGATCTTTCTGCTTCCCAATTTACTTTCAAAACAACCTTGTGAGATGTCTTAAAATCCGAGAATCGTGGAGTGGGAAGGGGGCCTGCTAAGGCCATCGAGTCCAACCCCCCTGCTCAGTGCAGGGACCCAAATCAAAGCAGATCTACCGGGGGGGTTGTCCTGTTTTCTCTTGAAGGCCTCCAGTGTTCGAGCACTTTGAAGGCCTCCAGTGTTGGAGCACTGCTCGTCCCCTCTCAAGGTCATGGGTTCCCTTGTTGTACTGCTCGAACAGTTGCAAAGTTTTTCTTGAGATTCAGCCAAGTACGTCGGCTAAGACGGCAGAGAACAATGGGACCCAAAACACCCCCTGGCCAAGCGGGGCTATGAACCTAGGTCTATTGAGTCCAGCAGCCTAACCATGACTGTACTCAGAATGATCTCGCTGCCTTCTTCTGCTCGTGGCTATTTGACATTTAGCCCAGCTGCTGTTGCCACCCATGCAATATCTCTATCTATCTATCTATCTATCTATCTATCTATCTATCTATCTATCTATCTATCTATCTATCTATCTATCTATCTATCTATCTATCTATCTATCTATCTATCTATCTATCTATCTATCTATGTACAGCTGTGATGGGAACAGAGTGAGTTGTGAGAAAGGGGAAAGAAAGCCAACAGGAGGGCCCTATAGCCTGAGGGGAAATGATGGCCATAGCTGAGCACTATAACTTGATGGGCAAGTTATTTCCCTTCGTCCCCTGAGAGCCACTTGCAAGCACTCCACCGCCCGCCTTGCTCAAGTGGCAGAAGAAGTGCTCCTCCTGATCAGGGTTTTGCTCTTCAGGGACCAGCACAAAAGGAGATTCGCAGCCTTCAGCAATTAAGGAGACACATCGCCCAGTCTCCCTGGCTAATATTCCCCCCCCCCGTTCAACTACGAGAAAGCAACCCTTTGTGTTTTTTGTGCACAAACACAGCTAATTGTGTCAGCTTGAAACAGACCACAGCACTTGCTGGGTCTAAACAAACCCCCCCGCGGCTCAACATGTCTTTGTAAGCTTGGCGCTACATTAGCCGGTCTCTCCTAAGGCTAGCCCTGACGAGATGAGACCCACAGACCCAGTGGGAAATACGATTCAGCAGTTGATTCAATGAGTCGACTCTCTTTTAAGACTAGCAAGAGGATGTTGGGCCAGAGAACAACCACAACAGTGCTGAATTACATAAACCAAGCATTTACTTCTTTTTGGGAAATATGTGTTAGAAGAATGGTTTGTAAAATCTGTGATGGTCCAGGTGTTAAGAGCAAAACACCCAAATACGAGTCAGCGCAGACTTCTTGATTTCCACCTGTTCTAAGCGGAATACCCTTCATCCTTGTGGCAGCCATGAAAATTTATGCCTGAATGCAGTAATGCCTGTAAATAACTTAATTCTTCGACTAGGAAGCGGGAAGGCAAAACCTTGACCAAAAAGTAACAGCAGTGCCTTTTTACCTATAAATAGCATTTTCCATCACCCGGCTTTCTGATGATGTCTTTGAGCATCTGACTTGTCTTGTTTCTTTTCCTTGATGATCTAGATTGCCCCGAAAGTTCCACCCTTTCCATGGAAATGGAGACGTAGCATTCCTTGAACGGCTGGCAGGACAGAATCCACTCTTTCTGGTAAGCACGGAGAGTGGATCCTTGAATTGGCATGTATTTCCTAAGCGTGGAAGCCTGGCTTAGCAGGGTTCAGAAAGGCAACTGTGTTTAATAATATAATAATCTTAGAACTGCAGAGCTTGAAGGAATCTTGTAGATCATGAAGCATAGCCCTCAACAAGGAGGCCCAGTGGGGAATTGAACTCCCAAACTCTTGTCACTTTAATGATGAACACATCTATTTTTAAAGAAATATTTGACCTTTGTCCCAGCAGCATAGCAAGCTAGTTTATGGATATCTAACCAGGGCAAGTACTCCAGAAAATCAGAACTGGGTAAAAGTAGAAAACAAGGATGTATTGTTTCAGGTAAACGAGAGAGGGTCTGTGCTCCTTCAATGGAAGGATTTGGAAAAGCTGATAACGTTGGCTTTTATAGATGAGTTTTGCTGATGGGGGTGCTGTGACTTGGAGGAAATAGACTGTCTTTCTCTCTTCTAAGAAAAGAGAACTATATTTCATTTCAAAAAGGAGAAAGGAAAGCTTGAGCACAGGAACTTGCAAAAAACATAGCTGGTTATTTAGGAAAGACCAAGACGGGGCAATATGCCAAAGTCAGCCTACTTTGCTACCTAGGAGTCTCATCTTCCAGCACCAATTCAGATTATCTCTTGCATCTCCCTCATCACCTCTCCATGCTTCCAGCCTGTTTCACTCCTTATAACTGCCATTGAGCATACACATTAGCAGCTTCTATTTGTATTGTGTGTGTTGTTGTTGCTGTTATTGTTGTTTTTACATGTGCCTGTTAAATGCAAAGTGGCATCACATCATGTCTGTTTTTTTTCCTCAAGGCAAAGAAACAGAATGTACTCCCAATCAGATCTGTTCTGAGGATGGCTTCATCTTTTCCCATCCCCACTTGGATTTCAGCTTCCTTCCCTCATCAGCTTCCTCCCGTGGCGGAAGCATGTGGTTCTTTCAGGACAAGCGGCCTTGGGGCCCTGATGCGAATCCTGGCTGTCTGAGATGGTTCTTCAGGATGCCTGCACCAGGATGCTTCTCATGATCATACTACTGATTCGTAGTAGCACAGCTCTGGAATTTTTAAGGACATCTTTGACTTTTTCCTTTTAAACGTCTTACCTGGAAGGAACAAAACATGTTTGCATTTCCAGATGCCTTAATGGCAGTTAGCTGACACCGTGGATGTCCCTTCGTGTCCCGTCTTACCACTAACAAGAACAGTTCTGCAACCGAGGAATGGAGGAGGAGGGGCATCCGGACAACCTGATGGCATGCGTATGGGCAGAAATCATGGTTTGCCATATCAGACCTTGTTCAAAAACCTGGGTGAGTACTCACCTCTCCCTCCCGTGAGCTGAATCTCTCCCTGCCATTTTCTTCATCACTACCTTTGATTCTGCTAAGAACTCTTGCCATTTTGGGGTCTAAAAAGGTATCCTTCTTGGCGTGGTGTAAAGATGTGATGAGCCTTAAAGCACAATCTTTGTGGCAGGTGCCTACAGTTCTACAAAGCTGGCCGAGAACGAAACCGACAAGCACAACTTGAAAGACTAGGCACATTTCCGACACAGCCCACTGGCCTTTGACCTCCGCTACTGCGTGCCCAGGACTTGCCGCGGTGATCAGGCTGTAGCTGCACCAAGAACTCGTACAACGGTGTGCATCTCTTAATGAATGTTTCCCCAGGGACGGGAAACATTTCCCCTTGTTTTGCATTACGGTTCCCAGAAGCCCATAGCCATCGTGGCCACGCGAGCCATAGGATTCTGGAACTCGTCATCCAAAAGGAATGTTCCCCATCTCTGCATTTTCCCTGCACATCGAAAAGTAGCATACCAGGAAGAGGGGTCTCAGCCTTGCCACTTTCCTGCCATGTTACTTCCCTCTGTGTAGAAGGAACTATTCTGTACAGTTGGACGTTCGATCATGTGAGCCTACTGCTGGTTGGACCAAAACAGCTGGAACGCAGTCCTGTTCCACAGATTTCTAAATCACTGCCAGAATCCTGTTGGTGTTGGCATAAAATTTGCGTAACTTATCACCACCGATTGCAGTTAATTGATGAAGTGTCAGGGTGCATCTTGATTGCACAGCTAAGAAGTATGAACAGCATGTGCCCCATCAGTTACCCACAATTAGTCACGGCGGTTTACACAAACGTGAACACCAACTGGATTCTGTAAAGGCAGAGAATGTGGCTGTCTTAAAATGAGCAATGGTACTGAGAATTTGTAGGCTGCTTCCTTAAAAACAAAATCAAGCTCCCCCCCCCTTTACACATTAAACAACCCTGGCAGTAAGCAAACTGGAATGGGCTAGATTTTCTTCTTTTATAAACTCTCTCTTTCTCAAGTACTGGCAGCGTACGGTATCTGTTTTGACCTCAAGGTCCGGCCAAGTACGATCTTTTTCTCGAGAGATTTCTTGGTTGCTTCAGTTTGCATTCTTGCAGAAGCAGGAGAGGAGGAAACAACTTTATTTTAAAAAGCAAAAATGGTATGCCAACAGGAGAACCAAAGTTCTACCCATGTCTGCTATGGAAATAGGACACTCTCACTGGTTCTGTGTAAGGCGTTTGGTTTAAGCTCTACCGGAGACGCTCAATACGCTCCTTGGATGCTGCAGTGAGGAGAAGCCAGAGAGAACGAAGTCTCACTAGACCCCATGTAAAGCATTTAACGACATAAAGCTTTTGTGATTTCAATGGGGATACTTTTAGGCTCCATTTCTTCTGGATTATATGCAGTGTGTTGATTGATGCTGCTTGTGTATCATCTCTCTGATGCATACACAATGGAAAACAGACATTGCAACTGTAATGTGTAAAAGCAGTGTAAACTCTCCTTGAAACGAAATTCACTTCAATTTGAATGTAACGTACGTAGCAGCAAAACCCACATTGTCCAGTGATTTCCAAGCTGATCAGACATTACAAAGGCACTGAAATCAATGTGAATCCCCCAAAAATAAGTATTAGACCAGTCTTTGATATTAAAAAAGAAAATGCAGGCCCACATGCAAAGAACTTAAAAATTGCAAAATCTCTGTAACTCTGCAGCACCTTCTTTTGGTGGGGCCATCACTGCACATCCCAGTTGAACAGGAACTCAAGCGCTTGGCTGGCTTTGTATCTCCCCCACCCCCACCCCCACCACAACTACTGAAAGGATGATGCCCAGCCTAAGGCCACCAAGCTAGTTGTGGTTAGGATGCCTTTTATTCCTTCCCACCTCCTGGCTTTTAAGCCTTCTGAACCAGGCAGGTGCCTCCTCCTCTTAACCCTGGTTGGGCCAGTTCAAAGGAAGGACTAAAATGGCCAGCAAAGAGCCGTGCAGAACCTCTCTCTGCCCAGGCAAGCAGCTTCTGTTTCCCCTTTTGTGTTCATCGGCACTTCTTGGTCTCCACTTCAGCCATAGCTGTAGAGCAGACATGAGCAGGCACCCAGTTTATCCTCTTGATTTGGTTCCTTTTTACGAAAACCAAGACCCAGAGCCCAGGGCAAAAGAGGGAGCACTAAGAATGCCAAGCCAGAGGGACTCAGAGAACAGCCCCCAAACTCTGTTTCCAGGGCCAGAACACAAGTCACAGCCTTTCTGCAGAAAAATGTGTGCCTGCCGATTCCTAAGCGTTATTGATTTTAGCAGTCTAATTTAGGAGTGAAAGGCAATCTGTCGTGGCCATTATTAAATAACGGGGAGTCAGAAACCGTGACCAATCTACCTAATGCAGATCACCTTGCCATCAGCTAAAACGCCCCCAGCCTACATTCTGGCCACCCCTGCGGTGTAAAACCAGACGCCGCAAGAGGCGGCAGCTGCTCTTGCCCTCCTTTCTTGGCAGCCTCGATCAAACGGCGCTTCCAATTGTTATTTCTGCTCCTGTGCCAGACCCCTGAAGGGTAGTGCAGCTGTTCAGCTTGTAACGGCACAAACAGAATACATGCAAATTATTTCCCTGAGCACCTTTGGGGAGCAACGTGTTTTAATTCCATAGCCTGCCTCAATAAACTCCCCTCATTCTCAGGTAACCAAAATAACGGAGTTTATTTTTGGAAACGCCTGAGCAGCCACCATATCGCAAAGAGACTTCCCCTGTCAAGATTCATCTGGGCTGGGGAATTTTTCAAACTCAAAAATACTTGCTCCTGCGCAATCGTGCCAGCCCTCAGCCAACATGGAACCCGACAAGCCAGTAGAGGCCAACTCTGTGCCTTCACAAATGAGGAGGTTCACAAGCCAGGCTTCCTAACAGGGCCATGTTATTATTTATTTTTTATTTATTTGACTTATATCCCGCCCATCTAGCATAGTCTACCACTCTGGGCAGCTAACAACAAACATATATACAATTAAAATAATATAAATCATTGATATCATTAGTAACAAAACATTCCAAAAGATGACAAATGATAGATAGCCAAGCGAAAGGAAGTTAAATGCTGGCAGGAGGGAAGGCCTGGATGTAAAGCCATGTTTTTAGTTGAGTTTTAAATGTACCCAGCATAGGGGCCGTGCGAATCTCAGGAGGGAGATTGTTCCAAAGGTGAGGAGCCACCACCGAGAAGGCCCGGTTTTGAGTCTTTTTCCTCCGGGCCTCCCTCGGCGTCAGGCTCCTCAGCCTCACCTCCTGGCTCGCGCGGGTGGTCCGGGTAGATCTTGGTGGGAGCAGGCGTTCCACCAAGTATCGAGGTCCCAAACCGTTTAGGGCCTTATAAGTTAGCATTAAAACTTTGAAATCGATGCGGAAATGAATGGGCAGCCAATGCAGTCTGGCTAGGGTAGGAGAAATGTGCTGGTATTTTCTCACTCCAGTAAGGAGTCTGGCCGCTGCATTCTGCACCATCTGAAGTTTCTGCATCAGTCTCAAAGGCAGCCCTACGTAGAGCGCGTTGCAGTGGTCTAATCTTGAGATTACGAGTGCGTGGACCAAGGTAGTGAGCGCCCCCGTGTCAAGGTAGGGCCGCAGCCGGGCAATCCGCCAAAGATGGCTGTAGGATCCTACAGTCCATAGGATCTCCAACATCGAAGCACAGAAAACTGCCAATGCAGCTTTAAGCTCTTCTCGTCCCCCTCAAGGTTCGGTGTTCCTCTAGATTCCTCACTGTGGTCAGCAATAGCTGGACGTTTCCACATGCTTTTGCTGCCGAAAGTTCTGCAACTGCGTGGGCAACAAGCTGTATGTATGCTGCCATAAAAATAAAGCTTTCCAGTATATCTGAGTGAAAGCACCGCATGGAATATTTTGCATCTTGATGGAGAGAGTCACTGCCAGCACTTATCAGTTTCTTGAGTTGCATTCAGATTTTTCCTGTTTCCATCGTCAAAAGCACACAAGGGCATTTTCATCAGCCAAAAAAAAAAAAAAAAAAAAAGGTCTAAGCACATGGCATGAAGAGGGGACCATCCTTCCACCTCAGTTTTGTTCCAGTGCCTTTGTGCTAAACTGGAAAGGGCAGGGGGAGGAAAACCATGCCAGTTATTGCTCCTTGAATTCTGCCAACGTTGTAGGCCAGACCGAGCCTCCCACACACATTCCACTTTATTGGGCATGCGATCAGCTGTACTGATGGTCTGCCTGTCGTCCAAGAAGAGGCAGGAGAGATGCATCTAGACTCTCTTTATTTTAGATATTTGATGCATTTCGGGTACAAACAGCAAGCATACCTGTAGCTGCTCAAACAGTCTTGACAGTATCCAACCTCGCTGAAAACCACAGCCCGTGCTTGTAATAATTGCCTCTGGAGTTCTGTCACATCAGCGGTTCTTGCGTCGCTTTGTAACTGAAGCCAAGCTGGGCTAGAACAGCCAGCGTCTCAAGAGCATCCAGTTGAAAGATACTTCTTAAATACTGGATATTTGCTTGCAGCGTCTCAAGAGCATCCAGTTGAAAGATTCTGTACTTCTTAAATACTGGATATTTGCTTAGAAGTGGAAAGCATGGGAGGCCCTTTAACGGATCAGAGCAGAACGCTTCTACACTGCATGAGACACAGCTCCTTTCACTCTGTTTGTCAAATCTTTTGTAGCACTGTGGCCATCCTGTGCTACAAACGAGGGGAGAAAATGTGCAAAGGCAGATTGGCAGGCGTGGCCTGCGCATAGCCTCAAGTCTTATACTAGCTTTGGAATTAAGAGCAATGTGCATCCCTTGGCATTGGCTGGTGCCCTGGTGCGCCTGTTTAAGAACTTTCTGTAGGGCTGTTGACCTACTTGAGGAGAAAAAGATTATGCTGAAGACGCGGATGCTGTCCTGTCGGACTTCTATGATGAGAGACGGTGTCAATGGGAGTGTTAGTCTTCCCAAAAGTGGTACAGAATACCGCCCAGGGCGTACATTACACATGCACACAACATATCAGGTACTCTCTCTGGCTAGCAGCTTAAAAGTCATCATGTTGATGACTATGAAAGATTATGTCCGTGATAAGTTGAGCAGTAAATTACTGCTAGAGAAATACGGGCTTTTGCTAACATTGTTACATCACGCCGCTTAATTTTTGTAAATTAGATGTTAGATAACTCTAGAGCAAGGAACAATAATGTTGGGGGAAACAGAGTAGATCAATCATCTGCTCATCCTGTGCCTGAGTCCTGTAAGATTCAGCAAGCATCTTGCCATGACAAAGGTTTCATTTGCCCAGAATCTACGGAATGCTGCTCTGGAAAATGGGGCCATAAATTAGAAAGCACATTTTTGTAATATTTTAAAGAAAATGATCAAGAATATCTGCAATGCCAACATGAATGTGAGATATCTTCCTTTCTGCCCCTCTTGGGGAAAGAAGGGGCGGGAGGGGAAAACTGAATGATAAGGTACAGCAACCAGATTGCATTTCTTCCCAGACTTGCTGAAACTTTTGCACCGTGCCTATCCCTCTACTTTATCCTCCTGTACACCACTGACAATAAAACCGGTGTTTACAGCTGTGCAGCTGACGATATGAACACCACAGAGGCTGTTCTTGACAATTCTGGAGACACTGCATTGTCATGAACTAGTACAAATTAGAGATGGGCATGAACCAATGATTCGTGCCAGTTCGTTTATTGGCCGAACAGATATTCGGCACTTAAAAGCCCCACCTTCTCTGGAGGGTGGCCACTCAGAAGCAGCGCCCGGAGGAGGCGGAGCAGGGAAGCCAGGGTGGACGCCCACTAGAGGAGGCGGGGCTGGTAACCGCCAAACTCCTCTTCGAGTTGAGAGAATACTCCGTTTTGTTCCTGGCACCAGCTGCTACTGCTTTCTGGATGCATTTGGGTTGCATCCTGGTGAAATGAATCTACTTGAAAATTGTTTTGATTTGAGATGTATTAATATTTGAAAGGTGGTGAGAGCCAGTTTTGGTCATCTCTGCTGATGGCACACATCTAGGCTTCCTGAAGTCCATTGTCAATGAAATCTCTCCTCATTAAAACCAATGCCCTAATAAGATAAAGTACAGTATAGTGACTCGGTTTTCTCTCGTCACTCATCAGTATCCAGTATTCCCTCAGTATTGCAGAGTTTTTTTTAAAAAAAAAAATCCCAGATGACTTTTCATTTAATATTTTGAAAGAGTTGAGACAGATTGCCGTAAAGTATCCATTTAAAACTGAATTTAATTCATATCTGCTGAAACATTCTTTCCTCCAATACCCATTGAGAGGTTTCCATCTACAACCACCATCAGCTGCTGATCAACTGGTTAGTTCAGTTTGAAGTATCTTGTCATGCCTTTTTTTCTGTTCTGTTCAGATAATCAAAGTATTATTACGGCCTGTTTTAAGATTGTTTTCTGAGGGATCTTGAAAAGTGGCAGCTTACTGCACCGTCTTTCTCCCACCTATGCCTTGTTATCTTTTTTATAGCGTCTCTTTTCTTTCTTCCAGTCGTGGGTACAAGCTGAGAGCAGCTAATTCCATACTTCTAAATATTTTGTCATACTTGCTTCTCTCTTGGGGCATTGTGTGTGTCTTATATCTAAATCAAGCCACATTATTTAACTGGCATTACTTCAGAGGTGGAGTTTCTTCATTATAGTTTACAAGAAAATGATCATAGTTTTTATCCTACAACTAAGCCTCCTTTATCATTGATGGATATTGATCAAGGATGAAATTCCACATTAACCCTGTACCATATTTAAAGCATTTCATTCTCTCAGATTTGTTCATCTAAAAATGTGGGTGTTCCTGCTTTTGTAGCAGCCTTAAAGCATGGAACATTTTGCAATAAAATATTTTCAAAAATCGAGGTCTGTGTACGTTTTAAAACTTGTTCCTCTGTTCTGTGCCATCAAGCCAAAAGCGACTTATAGTGATCCTGTCACATTCCTGCATGCCCCTTGATTGTTTCACCAAACACAGGGCACAAGCTATGTGTCTTTCAGCTGCCACCAGTTGATTACATCAACATTAGGTATTATTAATAATAGAGGTCCAGACCATGTGTCATTTTAAAGAGAACCAAATAGAAGTTGTTTATTAATACAGGTGATGAAGGTACAATCAATGTCTTTAACTCTTAACCAAACATCCCACTTCATCCACCCTCAACCACCAACCCTCTCTCTACTTCAAACTCCCAATCTCCTGCAGAGACCCTCATATCTGGTGACTCTGCCTCTCCAGCACTCTCACCAGTACATGCAAAGAGTTCAATACTGTAGTAACTGTTCTGATTGTGTAATAGTTGTGGGATATGCTGTACCACCTCCAAGTTAGATGATTTGGTCGCTGATGACTCAGACTAAAGTTGGAAACAGTCACTCTGTGAACATTGGGGTAAAAATAAAAATACTATTTGAGGACTAGACAGAGATGACAGGAAGGACTGGAGGATGAATGTCCTTGTAACTTCATTACCGAACAACCCGGAAATGGATACTGTGGTCAACTCAATATATGAAGAAGACTCACACTGCCTCAGCACGACAGACATAATGATTCACATTAAGCAGCTAAGTCAGACTTCCCATCGACTGAGCATCCCTTTGAAACACCCTGCATTGTCTTGTGTAGTTAGAGCCCCTTGCCCTCTCTCTGGTCTGCAGGGTCAACCAGGGGTCATACAGAAGAAGGAGGGCTTCCAACTCAGCACCATTACTGTTCAGTAGCTGAAGACCATGTCTTGGGTACAGCAAGAGGGTTACGGAGAGAAATGGCCCTTCCACACACTGTTGAGTAGAAAGAAAGCTGCTCTGAAACAGACATTGCACTGACCCAGAAGGCAGCACGATAGACCCAACCAAGGCTTATGTTTTGTAAATACATGTTTTATAGCTGGGTTCTAGATCTCATTAGAACTATTTTCTTTCAATAATCCTTTTCTAACTTTAAGTTCACAAGTTAATTTATCATTAATAGCTAGATTCCACATCTCATTATAACATTCTTCCAACCATTCTTGTGAGCTACTTTTCAAATTTCCTCTGACTCCTAGAAGCGGTTTAGAGCAGGGATGGGTGGAAGGAGAGCCACGACTAAGGCCTCCAGCTGTTGCTGGACTGCAGCTCAAGATACTCCATTTCCACCATTTATTTATTTATTGGATTTCTGTCCCACCCATCTAGACTCATAGGACTACAAACTGTACTGAATACAGCGCTGGGGTCTTTCTGTTAAGAAATGTGGCTCATTACCACCTTTTTCTAAATGTATTTCCATTCCCATTGAGCCCCAAAGGTGTATTGCTGATGTACAGAATTACCTCCGTCATCTACACACGGCATCTCACTCTCCACCATGTGCATCTTTCCAAAGACAGAACTTTATCAAGATACCCAGCAGGCCAAAGCAAAGTAGGCAGGATGCATTGAAACCACTGCGCCACGAGGCTCCTCCAAGGACTTGTGCATCCAACTCTAGACTAGGGAGGATAGTTTAATGTGTCTCACACACTACACTCCTTTTGCTTACACACCTTTATTACATGTACATTGCTGCTATGTAGGTTGAGAATATGATCAAAGAACAGAGAAGGCATCTACTACCTAATGTTCAAAGTTCCTAAGATATTTGCCATTGCTTCAAGGAGAACATTTGAATGTTCCGGACAGATTCCAGCAACACTCTAGGAACAACATCAGAAGAACAGCCAGACAATGATGCCGTCACAGTTATTTTATTTTACAGTTGCAAAGAGCCACTTAAACTGGCTACAAGAGAATAAATAAAAAGAACGATGAGTGCAGTAATTTTCAGATACATCATTACAAGTATGTCATCGCCCAATGCGCTTCATTGCTCTCAACTCATTGCCAAAATAAAAACACCGACATAAGATCCAAGATTTCATCTTTTAAATTAAAAAAAAAATTAGCCTAAGTCAACTATGTTCACCTTTGGCAAAAGAAAAAAAAAGGAGAAAAAAAAAGATGTTAAATACACCCTTTAATTCCTCCACTTCAATTTATAAAACATAGAAAACGGTAAAGTAATGTACAGTAACAAAACACACTGGATATGTAATTCAGTCCGTTCCAAAATACTTCTGTCCGAAGTGTGTGGGTGCAACAGGATGAACTTCTGTTGTTAAAATTGTGATGTCTGGAAATTCCTGAATTATTGATTTGGCACCTTTAAAAGAAGAAAGCAAATGAATAGCTAAAGCCTGCATTTTAGTCATCTTTCTTTGCTCCTTCACAGCTGAGTGGCTTTCTGGGAAGTATCTTTTTTCTTATTGTTATTTTTGTAGTGTATATACACAGTACAGGCTTTGTTTAATTATCTAATTTAACTATGCTCCAAAGAATGATCTCTGTAAGCATAAGGCTTTTTCAGATATTCTTTTTCTTCTTCTTTTATTTCAAAAATTAATGCATTCTCTTTGACTACACACAGTTAAGTCTTGTGCAGTAATTCCGGCTCCCAACAAGCCCTTTTAATTAATGGTAAATGAGTCTCTGTACCTCCAAAAAAGAGAATACTCAATCCCACCCCCCTGGCCATCATAATGTACCATTTTAAAAAAAAAGAGCACTTTCTGGACCACCTTTAATTAGCCAAGCCTGGCAGGCTAGCCTGTGGTGTCATGCACACCAGGGCAAAAGGAGACACTCAAAATTCTCTTGCAACATGAAAAGATTTCTTGATGGACAAAATGATATGCAGAAGGTCCCCCAAAAACTGGAAGGTTGAAAAGCTTTTAGGTAACTATAGGATTACACTTCAGACTTAGAAGAGACTCTCTGAAATTCACGGAACAAATCACGCTACTCATGGCTCACAGATTTCAAGGCATATGCCCTAAGCCCGACCTAGTTATGCTTAGTGTTTACATCAGGATCTTGTAGAGTATGAATCAAAGAACTTGAAGAGAAAGTTGAAAGGTTCACAGCCTTTATGAACTGTCATGCAAAAAGTTGCTCTAAGATTACCCACTTCCTCAGAAGTATTTGTTTAGTTATTGATCTATATTTAACTATGCTGTCTGTCACCTCTGAGCAAACCACTGACTCAATGGGCAAGCTACAGCCTGACTTAGCCTAACTCCAAACCCAAACCTACATCATATATTGTCCTAAAGGGAGCCAGGTTGCATTTACCAACAATTCAGTTCCCAAGGGCAGAAAAAAAACACAGCTCCCAGCAACCATAAAGGGTCACTATGGAATGAAAAGACATCCCGAAGCCCAAACCATGTACTCACTATGAATCTATGCCATCCAAGCTCAGAATCTGTGATACTGTATCAGATTATCATATTGAAAAACAGAAATATTCCAGTTTTTTCTCCAGTAATGAAATCTTTGAGAACATGGGAACAGTATGTTCTAATTACACAGACTATTTGAAATGGTCAATAAGCTCCGGTGACTTGGCAAATAAACCTACAGAAGTCAAGCTGTTTAATCCAATATAGAATAGATGTTAGGCACAAGAAAACACAACTATCAATTCCCTTGATTAAACAGAAAGCATATTTTCATAGCAGGATGTTTTCAGGTAACCAGGAATCCGCAAGATCATGACTGCACCACTGGGTCACTATGGCACATGAAGGAAAACCTTACCACTGAATGTGTGAAAGGGCCCTCCTATGGATATATTTGCACTTCCACCCCATTGTCATTGAAAGGAGGAATATGTGTGTGCATGTAATTTTTTAGAAGAGCATGCAGGCAAGCAGAGATGCCCTCTCCCCCCCCCCTCCATCTGGCTGGATCTAAATGATTCGACAGGGTTATATCCCAGCCCACCTGCAGAACCAAAACTAGACCTGAGGTGAACTGGGGGGGGGGGAGAGGCAACAGAGGAAGAGGAAAGGGTTAGGAACAAATAACACATTTTTGTCTGTCCCTCTTAATTTGTCCCATTGTTAGACTTACCGTGGGGTGTAGAGAATAGACTCAGCAGGATGATGACGTTTGGTTGAACTCCGTGTTCTATAAGAACCTTTACAGCCTCAATCACAGTGTTGCCAGTACCTGATGAGGTGAGGGCAAAGAGGAGAAAAGGGACTTATTCTACTGTCTATCTAGGCAAGGTATGTTATGATCAGAATCATGTTAGACAGCAACTATTCTGCCCCTCTGTCTGAATGGTCCACATGGGTGGACTAAGAGTATCTTTTAAAAAAAGTACATTCACTACTGTTGCTTCTCCAGTGGCTGGTATTACTTGTGTGTTACCAGACCTGTAAAAAGCACCTGTCAGAGTACAAAAATCTTGCTTCAGGAGACGTGGAAGTTCTAGGTTTAGTCCTCTGCATTTAAACACTTATACATGGATAGTGAAATGAAACTATTAACTGAGTTTTAGGTATCACTATGGAGTCTTCATCAGCTCACAACACATTTTTAGAAAACTTTATTACAATCTGTCTAGCTAAATAGGATCCAAGTTTCTGTTAAGTGCCCAGCTACCACCTCTTCTGCTAAAACTCAAGTAGACAAAAGCTTTTTCTGCAGCTCCCCTCCAGCAATTACACTGTACTGGTTTTAGGTGGTTAAAAAGGTGGTTGGCAGTTGATTCAAATGACATTTATTTTACATCATTAAGCACATCTCCCCAGAACAGGTGCAATGCAATCTCTGCCAGATGCAGTTCAACTAATGTACATTCTGGCAGAGCTTGAAAAAAAACTGCATTATATGTGGCTCAAGGCAAGCCTAAGCTTTGCTTCAAGCCAGTGATGGATCTGCCTTCCAACAGTGCACTCTGGAGCCAAAGTGCTTAGGGATGGGTTTAAAAAATACATACTCGTAAGCCACTCACTCAGTATTGGGTACATGAGAAGCACTTTCCTCCTGTAGATATCCGGTGGAAACTTTGCATAGTACACTTTGGCTCTCTGCGTCTCTTCATCGCTCTGTATCAGGATCTTCCCTATTCGGATGGACCTGCAGCAGTCACGCAAGCCCTGTTCCATTGCCTCTCCTTTGTTTGGGGAGGGAAACAGGAAAAGAGTTCAAAATCAAGAAAGGGCCAGCTTGTTTCAAGCACATACAACAAAGCAAAGGATCTGCGCTTCTTTTTACAAGTAGACAGACAAACAATGAACCCCTTTACCATGCAGATTAGCACCAAGGAGGTTGCATCAAAAGGGCACATGGAAGCAATCTTTAGCGAAGACAATGATCCTTATGAGATCCTTTTTCCCTTGCAGCTCCCTACATTATTTTCCATAATGTAAAGACGTAACTTATATTTAATTAAACATTTGTTCTCTGGATCCTTCTACTATTGGAAACAATAACTTATTCATCTGATAATGAAAGAACAATGAAAAGCAGGCACAAGCCGCTTTAACCACCTACCGCTCCTCATGATGCTGACTCCACAGTTTCCTTTTTCAAACTTCACCCCTTCATACTTGTACCCTGCGAGAAAAGCCACAGAGAAGCTGTGAAAAAGTAATAGTCCTTTTCTACCAATTTGTTTTATTCGGTACACGGAGATCTGATTTGTCAGAGCTAGCAAAGAAGCTTAGCACCAAATAAAGGCATTGGAGACAAGCAAGTATACAAAAAAAGCTTTATCAGATTAAGGGAAATGAAGTCAAGTTTGAGATTAACAAGACTCCAACAGACACTGGCCACCAGTTGAAACAAATATGTTGTTAAGACTTCCTTCACAGGCCGTAGCAAATGGCACAAAGTGGAGAGGGACGGTCATGGAGAAGCGGCCTGTCCCATGTCCTTGCCATTCCAGTTGTTCTAACAGAAGAGTACCAGCTGATGACTTAAGAAAGCAGGCAGGGCAGGACAAGGTGACCCTTTTAGATAACCCGACTGCAGGCCAATTAACATTTTAAAGCAGAGGTGAGCAAAACACTAGGTGCACCTCCCTGCTTGGCTGTTGGCTGCCAACTTAAGGACACATTTCCAGCAAGCTATGAATCCATTTTAGCACACACTTCTTCACCATCTAGGCCACCCTGATATACCCTATTACCTGTTGGAGTGGTTACTGTGCATTCTGTGTATGGCAGCTGGTTCAATCCCTCTTCAACCACAAGCCTGATCTGTAAGAGAAAAAGAGTTTATATCAGTGGACGGGGGAAGGAGAGAAGATGCCATCCCAGAAAAAAATCCTAGCTTCTATCAAAGGCTAACAGAAATGTGACCACAATCTTTCTTTTCATATCTTCAGTATACACACAGTGTAACTTTTCCCTCCCCTCTGGACTGTTCAAAAATATGCCAAGTGGACTTTATTCTATCATCTGCACACCTATAAATCATTCAGTGTGCCATTAAACTCATGCTACTAAGACAAAACTATACTAAAGCTAACTAAGTTCACCTGTACAGCATACCGTAGGAGAGATGAATGCTGTCAATAATTGGTAAGATGTGAGGGTAAGGGAGGAACCACTCTTGGTAACCAAACCCTTTCTCTGTTCCTGCAAAGGGCTCCTTGTTTAGCCTTCCTTTCTATAGATTCTTTTTCAGCTATACAGTATCAAGTGCAGTATAATCCTGCCTTTTCTTTACCAGCTACGCATATACATATGCTGTGGAGGAGCTGTTTCAGACACATCGAACAGCTTGTACGCTCAGCTTTTTTTCCCTTCAAATAACAACACACTCTGCCAGAATTTCAAGAGACATTTACCCCACAGCATGCAGAGCTGCCATTCAAAGGCAACACTCAAAGAAGCCTGGCTTTTTAATTTTATGCGTCTTGACTCCGGGGTTCGATTTCCACCTCTCTTTCTTTGATGGGAGTGACTGAGCTGCTACAATTTCTTGGCTCCACAAAATCATAAAAAATTGGATTCACAAAACATTCCCACTGGTTTGAATCCAATTACTCCTCCTGACTACAGCAGACTCACAGAATCAATGGCTAAACAGTAAATCAGCACTTATGTAAGTGCCAGGAATTCAGTGGTTCTACGCAGGCTAAGACTAGTGCTCAAATTTCGGGCATTTTGTGTATCAGAATAATTAGAGGAGAAAAAAGAGTGAACACCCATCTCAAGATAGTGAAGCTACTAAGCATCAAGTCAGCAGAAGCTGTCCTGGATACAGCACCTTCTTGGTCAAATTCCATGTTTTCTAGCAGTACAGCCAGCCTCCAAATCTAGCTTTCTGCCTCAGCTATGAACATGTCAGTCTTCTATTTAGCATAAAACCTGAAGGCTCTGATATGGCAGAAACGAAGGACAATATACCAAGCATGGTGGATAAAAATCAATGATTTGTTAAAAATCAAATCCATCTTGAAACTGGGTTTAATTTGGGTGCTTCCATGAAAAATACTCCTTGTCCAAATCTCTATAGCATATTCTATGTGACCAAGAGGCAGACCATAAATCACTCATTTCTTATCAGCTTGAAGTACAGTATAGTGAAATAAGAGTCAAATCCCAACAATATCTGGTAGTGAGGACCATTGATTTCAAAGTTAATATGTACAGGGTTATGTAAGAATACTGATATCAAGACTAATAATAACAGATCTCCAATTAAGATGCAAGCAGTTATTTGCAAAAATAAAACTGAATTCCTGCATAATTAATGAGAGACAAAGCGCAGAAAAGGATTTGCTCACCAAGCGATCAGCAGAAAATACAAAGTCACCTCTACTGGCTGTCCTGGAAAAAAAAAAGAGTGAAATATAACTTTTAGTAAGACGATTCCATTTTGGCTTTAACCACCATTGTTAAGTATCCCAGAACACACGGTCACACCAAAGAGAGAGTACTAGTCAAACAGGCGTGCATTTTATGAGGGAATGGGAAGTCCTGATGTCCTGGTAACCTCTTAAAAACGACACCACCACGGCCTTTGAATAAGAGTCATTCAAGCAGAAGGCCACATATTTCCAAAGGAAAATTGCATCAAGGGATCACAGGCAAGACAAGAGAGAGGTGCTGCTGGTCTGTCACAAGGCAGATCATGAGAGAAGGATCCAGCATGTTCTGGATGGGGTTAGAATGCCCCTGAAAAGTCAGGTTTGCAGCTTGAGAGTGCTCCTGACATGGAACCTGGATGCACGAGTCTCAGCAACAGCAGGAAGGCTTCTGCACAATTAAAGCTGGTGTGTGCCAGCTGCGCCCATTCCTTGAACGTTTGATCTGGCTACAGTGACACATGCCTTAGTTACCATACATCTCATCCGGATTACTGCACACACTGCTCTACCTGGTTCAAAACACTGCAGGCAGACCGCTGACTGGCCCTGGTTACAAGAAAAGGTCATTCCCTTTTTACAAGTAGCTTCACCGGCTGCCATTCTTTTCCTGCTCAATCCAAAGCTTTGATTATCGCCTATAAACCTTGATGCAGTTTGAGTCGAGGCTAATTGAAGGATTGTATCAGCCCATATGTGCCTACCTACCTGGCTTTTAAGGTCTCCTGGGGAGGCCCCTCTCTCGGTTCCCTCACCTTCCCAAGCTCACCTGGTAGGGACTTTCTACTCAGTGGCTGCTCTCGGGTGGGCCCCCCTCCTCTTGGCCTTCTGTCATCAGACAAAGACCTTCCTCTTCAGGCAGGCTTTTAAGCAATATGTGGAGGTCTAGAAACCCCCTATTGCCGTCCCCGTTCCCCGGTGCCTCAGGGAGATATGTTTCATTCGAGAACAGAACTGTCCTTTCAAAACACAACTCTCCTTTAAAATAAGCTGTGTACACCAGCATGCCTTGCTTTAAAGCAAAAAATGTATCTGTCTTAATTTCTTTTTACCTCTGCCACTGAATTTGGCTGCAACCTTTGCAAAAACAGGTGCATGTGTGCATGCATGTTGCCATCTCCTGAGAAATGAGGTGAATAGAGCAAGCCAGTGAGACTCATAACTCTTGGAAATGTACTTTGATGCAAAGACAAACTTCTTTCATCAAGCACTTTGTATTTTCAGTGCCTGTTTAACATTCTTCACTGACCATACTTGTGACACTGATCCACTACATTATTCTGAATTTTAAATTCTGCATATCTGAAGACATACAGTATCTAAAAACACTAATGTTTTCAGTATTAATACAGAAACTGTATTGAGACCATGAGAACAAGATTTTGCAATGGAAATACTGACACCATCCAGGACACAGCAGCACCACTGGGTGTGGATATAATAAATACATGACGTCAAAGAAAGCAAGGAACAGGTTTTCTTGCCCTGCAGCAAACAACTAGTCACAGTTCTGTAACTGTAAGGTCTATAAACCATTGAAAGTCACAGAGCACACAGTGCTATTCATCCTTAAATAGGTCACTAAACTGTTGTCATATGACAAATAAAGACATTTGGGATGCTGAGTCTCCCATATGCTATTTCTCCCAAGACACAGATGAGATCAAACATGCCCTCACCATGCTGCTTATTGTCAGAAACATTGCATTTCTTCCATTAAAGGAACAGTGTCCATTTCCACTGCATTATTTTACTCAAGCCAGAAAATGCTTCTGTTCTCTTTTTTGCTCAGTGCAGAGGGTTGCAATTTGTCAGGATGAAAATGAGTCACGAAAGAAGTTCACTCTGGGCCCCCTTCTTAGAACTCTCTCCAGGGAGATTCACAGATGTGAACCACTTCCTTGTAGTTCAGAAAGTATGTCAAGTTTTATTTCAAAACGCCTATTCATGCACTCTGTTCCTATTTAATAGATGGGCACGCTAAGCAAATATGATGCATTTATCATGCAACTCTGCTTTTGAAGAAAACATATGTATCAGCTAATAAGCAAAATATTTACTTTGAGAAGTATGGTAAACTGTCATTTGGCAAATGGGTTGGTGAATAAAACAACAAGAAAGGCCAGAATATACCCTGGACAGACAGACATCACTGTCTGAGAGTTAACTGTCACAACGACAGTCATTTAGTTTGTGGCACGCTGTATTTGTAAACAGGATGCTTACCCTTTCCATGCTAAGTATAGCTGTAACGATACCGTTGGTTCAGTGCAGGTTGTGGAAAATTTTGTTCTCTTTGTACAAACCTACCATTCTACTGCTCTGAGCACACTCCATCCAAACCAATTTTGCAAGCTAAGCAGGCTCTCACTTGCTAAGACCTTGGAGAGGACACCACAGGATACCAGGAATGTCCTGGGAGGGCTAGGAAAGAATCCCTTCAGTCAGAATGGACTCCACTGGGCTCAACAGGCCAAGGATCTGACTCTGCATAAGGCAACCTCCCCAGTTGGATCAGGACTTATCAAAAAGTACCAATGTACTGAACATCTGGTTAAAAGACCCTGAGATTTTAGAATATTCAGATGCATAAAAAAGCAAACCAGAAAAAAAACGGTCCACTCCTTCTCCTGACCTCATAGTCGTTTCATGTCATCTTAGAGGTGGGCTAAATAGCCATGGTATATTTACACCATAGTGTTTAACTTCTCCCCGGGAGGGAGAAGGAGGAAGAAGACCTCACAAAAACTTGCTTCTAATACTGACCAGCTTTAAACAACCAGAGGAAGCGGGATAACCTGTCACCAAGCCATTTTTGCATGACAGAACCAGACTGGAAGTAAGCCAAGAGCAGTGAGACAGCACACACACACACACACAAAGAGAGAGAGAGAGATGGGAGAGCCAGCTCCCCTTCAACCGGTGAGTGAAAACCATCACCCCAGCTCTAGGAGGCCATTCTGCCCTCCTTCCTCAAGAGCCAAGACGAAATGCCCCTTTGCATCACGGCTCCCCGGATACTTTGGAAGAGCACCCCCTACCCACCCAGGCCCTTTTCTGTGCTGAAAGGCATCACCTGGCAAGACAGAGATTTTGTTCCCTGGAACGCCTGAGCTCCAGGAAATTAGGAAAGCCACTTCAGCATCACTTAATAGCTCACATGTACACACTGCACTTGCAGGGCACATTACACAATGAAGCCCTCTTTTTCCAGCTCAAAGAGCCGAATTCCAGTTCCGGGAACCCTGCAGGAATGGAAATTTAAATAGGTCATAAGCGGGATGAGCTGTACAACATCCCGAAAGCCCATCTTGCAGTTTCACTGAGTCTTTTTTTTTTCTTGTTTGATTTTCGTTTGCATTTTTAAGTTCTGTCTGAGAAGGCAGCCTATGGACCTCTTTGGACCTGCCGAAGTGCCCCCGCCCCCACACATGAAGCCTCTCAGTTATCCTGACTGTAAATCAGGAGCCGGGCGGTCCCTGCAGACGATCATGCCAACTTTCCTTCCTTCTGCCTTCATGCTTATCCCTGGGATGGAGCCAGGGGTCCCCAGACCCGTTCCACAGACCCAAATAAAATAAAGTAAATAAATATGAGGATCAAAAGGAGGGTCTGGGTTCAAATCCCCACCCAGATACAAACCTCCCCCAGGGGGCCTTGGGCCTCTCCTTCGTCCTCAGCCTGCCCTACCTCACAAGGTTGTTGTGGGGCGGGAGGGCGTGGAGGAAGGTCCCGATCCTGAACCCAAGAGGGATCCCGGTGGGCCCGATCCTGCTGCAATTGGAGACAAAAGGGCCACGTGGGTGGGGGCGGGGGAGAATCCCTGAGGGCCAAGACAAAGGGAGCTGCCGCCGCCGCCGCCCCTCTCCTCTCAGGGCGCCTGAGGCTCCGCGGCCTCCTCGGGGGGGGGGCGCTCGGCCCATGCTCAGAGGCTACATTCTGGGCGAGGAGGGACAAGCCCCCAGGAGGGGCCCCCGACTTACTTGTCCCGGATGATGGTCTGCAGCTCCCGGATCTGGTCGTTCATGGGCAGGAGCTTGAGCTGCGGCGTCGGCGCTTCGAGGGAGCCGCCGGGGGATGGTGATTATGACCATTTTGATAATGCAGGAACAGCCGTTTCTAGCCCACATGGGTAGCATTCCTTAGCGCTGAGACTCTTTCTTTTCTGTACAATTCCACAATGTGGCCACATTTCAAATCAAAAGTTAAACTGAACAACAAAGTGCTTTTCCCCCACCCCATCCCCCCAGCTTGCCATTTCAGGACCTTGTTCTTTAACATTTTGGAAGCTGTATGTTCCTTTTCTCTAGCATTGGAATCAGCATTTTGTCTTGAAGAGAGAAACTACAAGTGCAGTTTTTCTGTCTCTCTTCCAGAAGCAAATTGGTTCTACAAGTGAGCCACTTGTGGTGGGCATTCATTAATCTCTCAGCTCCAACGTTCTCTCTAAATTTTCTGGAGTGCTGGGTCGGGCAAATGGGTGGCAGCATTGGCTTGGCTGCACCACCCTGATTCGGTGCTACACATGCACACAGCTTTAAAGGGAACGTTGCTCAGGGCTGTTACTTAGGGTGCTAACCTCCTCCCTAAGCCAGCACCTGTGGCTTTCCAGAGGTTGATAATTGCAGTGCTTTTCATCTGTAACTGTTGACCAGGATGGATTTGACATGTGGGAATTGCAGGTCCAACAGTATCTGGTTGGCCAGATTCACGCCCTTCGGCTTTCCCCATCCCTCCCCCCCTCCTCCGCGTTGGCGCCTTTTTTCACCTCACGGCGTTAAACGCTGTTCGTGTCTGAGACTCCCTTTCCCTCTCCTGGCACGCGGTCAGGGCTTCTCGCGTTCTTTCTCCTCCTCATCACGAAGCCGCCGCTCCCCCCTCCCTTCCAGGCGTGCGATGAATTACATTTTCCTCTTTGTTTTAATGACAGGGCCCGAGGAGGGGGGAGGGGCCTTCCGCCCAAGCTCGCCCTCGAACACCTCCCGGGAGGCGGGAAGGCGCCGGGGTGGCCCTCGCCCGAACGGCTTTCTCCCAGCCCGGGGAATGCTGGGAAATGTAGTTCAGCGCAGGAGGGAGAAGGGCGCGCTTGGCCCTCGCTGGACTACGCTTCCCAGGATCCTTTGGGGCGGTGGGCGGGAGGGATGGAATAAATAAATAGGTAGGTGGAGGGGTGATGGATAGACAGATAGTGTTTCTGGGTCCATTTCACATACACGCGCCAAAACCTAAGTTCTTTTCTATATTATTTATTGATAATAATGATAACAGGAGCAGCACATCTACTACCTCAATATTTAACTGATACTTAGTTTTTTTTTGGTTAAAACCTGTATCTGCTATATAATGCCAGTCAATGTTTTCACAATTTTGATTGACTGTGCCTGGTGTTTAATGATGATGATGATGATGATGATGCAGAGGGTGCTGTGGACTGAGCAAAGGAGCAGCCCGGCCGCGTGGGGTCCTCTCGCTCCTCCCCTCTCGCTTCCCGCCGGCCTCGACTGGCCCCTCTGGCCTCCCCGTCTCGCTCGCCAGTCCTCCCCTCTCCCGGCGTGCACCGCGCCCTCCTTCCTCCCCAACATGGCGCTGCTGAGAGTCCTGTCGGCGATGCCGTTGGGCTCCTCCGCTGAGGCGGCGGCGGCGGGCGCGGGCGTGTTTTTCTCCCACCGCTGAGAAGAATTTGCTCGCTGTCCCCAGACGAGCTTCTAAGCAGCAGGTTATCGGAGATTAACACCCAACGGCAGCATCTGTTTCCAACTCTCAAGTGACATAGCGCAGCCGTAAGGACTGGAGAAAACTAGATCCCCAGATTCAGCCGGGAACCCGTTCGTTGGCCACCCCGACCCACTGAGGGCTGGGCAGCAGAATGATCATGCCAGAGGCATTCTTGTTTATTCATTTTACACCCTGCTTTTCTCCCAACACGTGTGACTCTCTTTCTCACGGCAACCCTGCAACAGACTCAAGATCATTCAGCCAGGTTGCGGGTCTACAGGAATGTGTGTGTGTGAGAAGAGTACCGTTAATTGATATAGACAAATGCTTTGAATGTTTTAAAAATGTTTTAATTTAATGTATTTTTATGTTTACAGGTTGCTGATTTTTTTTTTGCTTATTTGTATTTTATTATTTCTATTCCTTATGATATTAAATTAAATATCAACTAAAAACATGGTTGTCTGTTCAGGCCTTCCCTCCTGTCATTATTTAATTCTTAATTTATTTTTTCTTTCATTTATTATTCGTTTTATTATTGTATGTGTTATGGACTGTTTGTAAAATTCTTATTTTTTTGTATACACCTTATTGGAAGCCGCCCAGAGTGGTCGACCAGACCAGATGGGTGGGATATAAATCAATCAATCAATCAATCAATCAATCAATCAGTAAATGATACTTGGTGGTATTTATAGACTGTAAACTACCTGGAGTGGCCTCGGCCAGATGGGTGGTATAAAAATTACATACATACATTTCTCTCTTTCTCCACACACACACACGGTATACATACAGACACAGACATATATACTGTACATGCATATGCAGGGACAGAGGGGGAGTACTGCATATATGTTTCACCAAGTGTCTGGATCCCTGAGGGATGGTGTTGATTAAACACTAATATATATGTGGAGGGAGGGGGGTAAATGATATATATTTATAAGAGTAGCTAATGAACAGGAGTATTTCTCTTTTGAATATATATTATAAAACTGGTTGAAGCTGCTTTTTGCGTGATGCCAGTTTTGTTGGTTGTATTTTTTTTTTCATTTTTAACCATGGTTATGATACTGTATCATTATGGTCATTGTGGTACAGTGGTATACCCAGAGTGGCCATTAGCTAGATGGGCAGCATAGAAATTGAATCAATCAACCAATAAAAATAATTATTGCAGTTATTTGTGCTATTTTTTAGCTTTGAAGATTGTTTATTTTTTGATGTTGTGAGCCATCGTGAAGCCTCTCTTGGATAAAAATGGAGATATTCATAAATTGTAGTAAAATAAAATCTTAGGAGAAGTTGCAGGGAATAGGTGGAAGTATCACCTGCTCCCAGAAGAATCTCCTCCTTGGAGAAAAATCCCACTTTTTAAAATGGGAGAAATGGGCAGGTGGGAATATCACATGTTGGCTTGGGCAGAAAGACAGCCAAGGAGAGTTTTTACCTGAACAGATATTGGTGATGGACATGTTAAAGAACTCTAGTTTGCTAGTTTACATGCTCCTTGATTTCTCTTGCTTGCAACACGATAGTTAAGGAAACCACCTGATCTGTGACTGATTCACTGAATTGTCTGAACCTTGAACCTGTTGCTACTCTGATTTGTTTCTCTCCAAAGGAGCTAGGATAAAATCCATTAGCAAACCTAAAACTGGCCTTAGATATAATCTTTCTGGTTTACTGTATTAGGAGAGAAACAAATAATGTAATAGTTGCACCTTGATTTAATACAATGGCATAAACAATAAAGCACAGATCCAACAGTGGTGAAGCAGAAGAGTTGAGGATTCCTACAGATGCTTCTGTTGTACAAATGTAGCCTATACAGTATATTTTAAGTTTATCTGGGGTGCTGTGTCAGTGTCAGAACTGACTCTTATCTACTGATGCTGAAGAAGGTGAGAATCTTGTCAGGAAGGACGACACTGGGAGTCTTCATAAAGTGCTGTGGTTGTGATGATATGTGTATTTTGTAGTTGTCTGAGAGGCTGTGATAGGCTGGTGCCAAGGCTGTGTATTAATTGATAGCCGAGGTCGCCCCCTTCTGCAGTTACAGCCAGTAACGTTTCATAGCTTAAGAGAATATGCTTCAGAAAGCACACGCTGTCCTGGAAGATCTGTACCTTGAGGCTGATCATAGAATTTTGGGGAGAAATTGATTTTCCTTAAGAACAAAGAAGAGCTATGCTGTATGGGCTGAAAACTTGCCTAGTATGGCTTTTCTGTTTTCTGCAGTGGCCAATCAGATCCATATGGGAAACCGGAAAGGAGCACCTTCCTTTGGATAGGATTCCTCAACAACTAGTGTTCAGAGAATAACTGAACAAAGGAGGAGGATATCCTAACTACTAACTATCACTCAATTCCCATTTTAAAGCCATATAATTAAATTTAAAACTATTGCTACATCTTATGGTAGCATCAGGATGGATTAAAATCAATTTTTAAAAAATCAAAAACATTGGATTTTTAAAATTTAAATTGGATTTTAAAAATTTTTTAAATCAAACTTATTTTAATAAAATGCTTTTGGCGGTAACATCTATCTAAAGATAGTTTTCTATTTAAGATACGTTATAGTTCAAAGGTTATTCAGCATGAAATAGAACTTGGTTATGTAGCATCATGCTGTATATTCATGCAGTATTTATTTTTTTTTTAAACTAACTCAGTTAATTAATATAATATGTTTACCTGTTGCTTAGTCTATGTGAGCGAATGAATAGGTCAGTTCTTTTAAAAAATTATAGGCCAACAAATACTTGCAATCACCATTCTTACTTCATATACAAATACATCCCACACATTATTAATGTTGGCAGCAATAGGAGTATTCCAACACTGCAAATAGCTTCTTTGCCTGGTGGGAACAGTTGCTTGCCACAGGTTATGCCTGTGTGCAGGGCTGGAATAGCTAATAGCACCTCCAGGTGACCCTAAAGCTGCTATATTCTTGAAGTGTCTTCTTGGAAGCAAATGCTTGTGCTGGTTGGTTAGGGTGCAGCGTCCCCTTTGGTTCATTCAGTTCTGTAGTGCTGCTTGACATTTTTCCTCCCGTATAGGTCTGTTTTCTTGCCATTTGCTTAATAACTCTGTCCTCCTGTCACCCCCACCTGGCTCCAAGTGCAGCTATTTAGAAGAGATTGATAGATAACATGCCGAGGGGTTGTGTCAGACTTCGTATGTATGGCTGAGCCACTGTTTCAGCTCTTCTCAAGAACACTTAACGGCGGCTAATTTTACTTGTGTTTAATTATATTAATGGCATTTAATGCACCCCTTTGCTTCTGAAAAGAAGGTTAATCATTTATATTTATAGCAGACTTAGAAGAAATTGGACCAGAGTAATAGAAAGATATACATAACTTTATAAGTGTTTTGAGGGCATTTGGGTAGCAACCTGCCTTACTCCTTTTTAGCCAAAAGTTCTTGCCTTGGTAGTACAGTCTGTTCTAGACCTGATGCTAAATAGAATCCGAGTTAACACAGTGATATGGGTTGAGGAGTTTTCTTCCTAATAATGTACTTTTGTATGGGGCCAGGGTTTTCAAAATATTCCATTGCAGTGCAGGATTAAAAGACAGAAGCTTTCTTATCTTGGAGAATTAGAAGCTGATAAGCTGAAGTCCAGTGAGGCTCAAAGAAGTTAGACGACATTTGGCCGATAACAACACTGACCTGAATCCAGTTGCTAGTCCTGCTTAGAAACGTAGTTCTGTTTATTTCAGTCAGTAGAATTTGCATAAGCCCTGATTTACTACCCAGCACTTGATTGAATGGGTCTACTCTAACTGGGGCTAGCAATTGAATTTAGACCACTAGATATAGCACTGTGGCATATCTATAACCACCAGTTTTGCTCATAGATAGGAGGGGTAATCAAATTGCTCATCTCAGCATTAAGAGCACGTTATTATTTCACTTCTGAGTTGGAAATGGTCTAAAGTTTATTTTCTATGGTCTCCATAGGTCGTTTTTCCCAAGGGTTGACTTGAGGTGCTTTTTTGACCCAAGGAAAGAATCTTAAACTAGGTGTGCTGTAGTGGCTTGCCTTAAGGACCTCATTTCTGACTTCCCTCTGATCCAGTTATCATGGTCAAAAGCTGAAAGTGAGCACTGAATCCGAAGGAACCTGGGACTATATAAAGATCTTAGCAGATACAAAAGGAACATTAAAATGTGCAGCTCAAAGAAGAAATAAGTTTTATCTCAGGCTACTAGGCATGACACTGTTAAGAACAACATTCAGTAAGAATGGGCTTGAGGCTTTTAGTAAGCGAAGGAACAGAATTCTGCTAGGAGTTCAGGGAGCAAAGAGCAAGCTTCTTTGCTATTTAATATTTTAAAATGTTCCCAGTGCTTTATTTTAGCTCACCACTAGTCCACATACTTTTCTTTTGTTGCTTTTCTGAAGTAGATGGTTTTCGAGTGTGCCAATCATCCATGTATGAAACAGGTGAAGTGTTCTCTGATCATTGACTTTGTGCTTATAATTACTCCATCATTGCTTTTCTTCTTTTCAGATTCCCCCAGTATTAAACCGGCCCTCATGGCAGAGTTCAGGGAGATGCTCATCCCGGCAGCTACTGGATGTTGCAAAGGTAGAGTTGAGCAGTTTTTTTCTCCCCTTATAATTCTGCCAGTGGGGAAAAACACAGCTTTCCATCTGATTCCTCGCTTGCAACTTGTGCCATATCTCTGGGTAACTTAAGTAAGCTTTGTCTGCTGGAAGAGAATCCACTTCAGTTTTTGTACCAAATCAATTTATAGAGCAAGTATTTTTTGTCTTAAAATAGCAGCTGCAATTGGAATGAAGGAACGAAATGCTGCTTGAGATGTAGTTGAAACACATTCTCCAGAAGAGTAGGGGTGGCAGCTGAGGCTCCAGATGCTCTCCTGCTTGTTCTGAGGAGCAGGAGGACACAAGAGTGGTGTTGCGCAGGTGAAGACTCAGGGAGATTATACTCACTGCTGAGCCTCTGCAGAACTGAGTGGAAGCAGCATGCTTGAGCAACATGCAGTCGCTGTTGGCAAACTTTGGTGTTTTTATCTCTTTTTTGTCGTAATTATTTATTTTTATGCTGTGATTTGGTAATTATAACTTTAAGAAGCAAGGAAATATGGTGGGCATGCGCCCCCTCACACAAACCTAGTCAGAAATCAGATTTATTGTGAGAAGATGAGGGAGAAGGAAGATGTAGACTTTGTTGCTGCAGGCTGGTGCTCTTAAGAACAAGCATATACTCTGGCTTCCCTCCTCGCACTGCCCAGTGCACTCCTGGTTCTTCTGGCAGCCTAATTTAGGCATGTAATACAATTTTCCTCTGGACATTTGACCCTGGTTATTGTCATTGGCCAAGATCCAAAACTTGGTTGCCCAGACCTGTTGACTGAAACTCAGCTGGCAGGATAGAGAACTGTCCAGGCTACCCTTGGATGGGTGAATGGGTGAGTAGGTGTCACAGTTGGTCCACTAATCTTAGTAGCTGCAAAGTGCCCAGTGCCAGAGAGGTCACCTCAGCCTCTGGGGATAAAACTAGGCCCAAGAGCCTGCTTGAGCTCTGACTCAGCTTCTCAAGGGAAGCACAGTCATCTAGAACAATGGTTCCCAAAGTTGAATTCCCAGATGTTCTTCTGGGAGTTTTAGTCTAAGAACATCTAGGGACCCAAGATTAAGAACTGCTGATTGAGAACAACATGAATATTAGCCCTTCTGACAGATAACTACACAGCAAGGCTAGACTGAGTTTCAGTTTATTGACTCTCATCCAGATCTTTACTAATCGGATCTTTAAATGAACGTGTGTGCTGCCTAACTTTGAACAGCTGTGCAGAGTCTTAACCCTTGGATTTCCTCACTTAGATGTTTCATGTAGAGATTGAAAAAACCTGGGGGGGGGAAGAATGGTAGATTTCTGCAGGGCCCCATAGTATTCATATACTGTGTAGCTGGCTAGAAATCCAACAGTGCATATTCTAAGATTAATTCTCCAAGTAGAAACATATCTGCTGAAACACACCATGCATATAATCACCATCCTCTCCAGAAAGATGTTGTGGTCAAAGCCTTGCTTAGGGGTTTAAAGCATTAAAAGGGCCTTCATCTTGTCTCTCTCCTGACATGGTTCATCCAACAGGTGTTTGTGCAAAAGCAGATCTGAGCCAGACTGAAGTGGGTTTAACTGGCCTCCTTCAATGCTTGGCATAGCAGATACTTGCTCAAGGGTGTGGGGTATTTGCAAAGAAAAAGTAATTCTGTATTCTGTTTGGCAGCCCAAATTAGTCTGTGGTAACTGACATTTTAAAGTCAGAAATATGTGCATATTTGCACATATTGGTCACACAGTGTGCTAGTGAATGCTGACCATAGAGTCAGGTCCTCTCCAAAACCCAAGAATTATAGCTGGTGGCTACACCTAGATAAACGCAAACAGCAGCATCCATGCTTAGCGTTGAGCTGTCTCAAATGTGATAAGGTTCACACATGTTCATGCAACATGTTACTTGGTTTGTTGTGTTCAGAACAAACAGTGGCTCTTCATCATTATCATAATCTCAGAACTGCCGGGCTGGAAGGTACTCTATGGATCATTTTGGTTTGTTGTGTTCAGAACAAACAGTGGTTCTTCATCATTATCTTAATCTCAGAACTGCAGGGCTAGAAGGTACTTTATGGATCATCAAGTCCAGCCCCACTCAAGAAGGCACAGTGGGGAATCAAACTCCCAACTTCTGCCTCCATAGCCAGAGACCTAAGCCATCCATGACCCTAATGACTCACTTACATTGCTACTCTTAGTACTATGCAGAATGTGTTCACAAATGATTAATCAGGAAAATGACAGTTACAAGCAAGGAACCTATTATTTTCTCATCTTAAACCAACAATTGGATGCCATGTGGTTTCTTGTAGAGTTCTGGCTTCTTTAGAGCCAAAACTCTGGCTTGCTGGAATCGTGGCTCGTTCTTGGGTCCAAACGTAGCGCCGCTGATTGTTTCCCCAGTTTCCTCTCCTGACAGAGCAGCAGACAAAGGAGGTGGGAAAGAAACAGATATGAAATAGGGGAGAAACTAATAATAATAGTAACCTTTGAACTGCAGAGTTGGAAGGGACCCTATGGATCATCGAGTCCAGATCCTGTCAAGGAGACACCATTGCTTGTTCATAAATAGAATAGTTCATGGTGGTTAAAGCAACAGTGCACACCAATGTAAGCCGTAAGTTTGTTTGATGAGCAAACACTACCATTCTGTGGCGTGTGGCCTCTGATTAAATATGTATTCAGGGCATGTTAGATTATTTTCTTTTGTTGTGCATGTTCAGCTGTAAACCCCCCCCACTCCTTCTCTTTCAAAGCAGAAGCAATGATGTTCTCTGCAAAGAATCACTGTGAATTAATGCTTTCTGTGGCACCTGTAAGCATTTCGTAAGGTCTCTGGAAGTGCTTTACATTGTTGTTATGATGTTTACCAAATTGCTCTTGGTGTTCTAGCATAATAGAGATGTTAAGCGCTTTGTTTGGTGCCTCGCTGCACTTTAAGAAGTGACAGTCTAAATGCAGCATTCTCTTTTCACTGGGAAATGGAAGACCTCCATTTAAAAAAGAAAGAAAGCAATTTGGGATTTGATCCTATGTGTCATAGAGTATGATGGTTGAGCATTGCATTTTTCTTCTCCTGGGCAGGAGTTTACAACAGCTTGAACCACAACCAGTTCCGTTTTCCCAATTTGCTGAAGGTTATGGAAACATTTAAGGTGCTGGTGCTTCCCTTTGAAAAAGCCCCTTATAGCATGGGACCCACAAGTCTTAACAGCTGCTCTTCCTCCCCCTTCCCCCAACACAAGTCCTGCCACTTAACGTAGTTTATGGAGTCTATGTTTCTTGCCAATAGGAGGTGAGACTGTTTGCAGCCACCTTGATAGCAGCTGACTTGACTATCTGGTGTGACGTTCTGTAGGAGGTTTGAAACATTCCTTGCTTCATGGCTCTGCAAAAGAAAAGGAGGTTTGAAACATTCCTTGCTTCATGGCTGTGCAAAAGAAAAAAAAACATATCTTTTGGGGGACATTTGCTTTTTGGGAGATTTCTGTAATGGACAAAAATTATCTTATTTTTCTCCACCTTGCTTGATGCATTTTTCACGATGCCTCTCTTCCTTGCTTTACATTAAATCTGGTGTTCTTGTATGCAGTGCTGAGTTTTGTTTGTCATGGATGTTCAATACCGGGCACACTTAGCTTTGTGTGATAATCCTATATCCTATACAGCCCTTTCCAATGGTTACTAAATACAGTAAATGTGTTTTCCACAGAGTGGGTGCTGTGTGATCATATGGTACAGTGGTACCAGATGGTAGCAAAAACAAGGCAGTGTGTTAGTGAATGCTAACCAGTCATTTCTGTAGCAGGCAGGTGTAGTGAAACTAACAACTAGAGTGGATAAAAATCAATGATTAAAAAAAAAACAAATTGATTGAAATCACAATATAAATAATGATTAAAAATTTTGTAAAATTTTTGTATTTAAATAATCCAAAATTCTATTTAAATCAAATCCACCCTGCTAACAAGGCATCTTGTTGCTGTCCATGACTTGTTTATTGTGCTGTTTGAATCAGGAGTTTTGGCTTGTGACTCTGTTGGGTCTGGGGAGAAAGAAGCCAGATTGCTTGTTTTCGACGTCATAACAAGCTGCCCAGTCTGCCCCAGTGTAGTGTGGTTAACAGAGTACTGGAGTAGTAGATCTCAGGAAATCTGGGTCCAGATTCCTTCTTGGCCATGGAAGCTCACTAGAGGTAGCATTGGTAAACCCCTCACTCCTTAAGCATCTCAAGAGAAAAATGGACAACCACCTGCATTCCTGCCTTGACCAGAGGGTTGGCCTCAATGGCCTTATAGGCCTCTTCTAACTCCATGATCCTAGGATTCAAATACCTTGGAAAGCCCTACCGGGATCTCTGTAAGACAGCATCCACTGAACTCTCCGTTCCTACTATGTCAGAATTGCAAATAACATCATCTGGACATGACATCCAAACCATCTCTGCCACCCAAGGCACCGTGTGAAGGGGTTCCAAAGGGTCGATCCACTCTGAAACACACTGCTTGGTTCCCTGGATGTTTGCCAGAGTTATCCTGATTGCATTTGTGCTTCTTCATCGACTTCTTCAACGCACGTGGAGTTAAAGGAACCCGTCCTTGAGATTCAAGCGAAACATTGTGTGGAAGGATTGGTCTGTAATTGGTTTCATTGTGAAATTCATAATGCTTGAAGTCAACAATGGTATTTTATTCCTTGTGCAGAATCTTCAAGGCTGGTCTCAGAGAGATAAAAGAATGTGCTGGCATGGACACGCAGGTGGAGGACTCCATTCAGATCCAAAGGAAGAGGTAAATATATGTGCTTTTATTTCTATATAAACGTTGTAGTAGAGGCAGCACCCATGTTGTTTTCTGCTGAACTGGTTTATGATTTCATCAGAATGGAAAAGATTCTTTCTTGTGTCAGAATTAGCCACTGGGACCTTGTTGAGGAGTGGATGAGCAGTTTTTATGACTTGCAAAACGATTGACAGAACTTCCTGTTCCTGCTCTCTTCAGTATTAATCATGCATCGCCTTCCTTGATACTTTCTCCTGTGGTTTCTCTTAGATTCTTGGGGCATAGTCTTACTTATTTAGATGGTTTTGGTTTTCTTTCTGATAGGCCTCTGAAGCTGCTGAAAGGAATAAGATTTTATCACAAAGGTGCTGGCTGCCCAGGGTCTGCAACTGTGGCTGGGCTAAAAATTATAACTGTCAGAATAGCTGCTTTCCCTCATGGAAGCTTCTCTTGCCTGCTGACTCTTTCTGAGGGAAGGATGAGGGTTGAGGCGGGCTAGTTGGCGGTTTCTCTTTAAAGGCCCCCAAAGCCAGCTGGACAAAGCAGTACGAAGACAGCCTAAGCATCCTCAAACAGCAGCTTTTGACCCATTCTTTTCTTTTGGGGAAAAACAGTTTGAAAGGAGATTCTCAGTCCCTCTCTGCCCATCTGGCCAAGGCTCTCCTGTTGTCTTCTCTGCACAGCTCTCGGAATACAACCCACCCCACCACCAGCCGTCACAAAATAGTTTTCGAACTGGGGAAATAGGGCAGGAAAGGCTGTACAGCTGCAGGAAAGCTATTGACAGCTTCAAAACGGAGGGAAAGGCTGGGTGCCTGTTTGCTTCCCCAGATTTTGGGGTGGGTGAGGAGGCATTGCCACACTCCCGTTGGCCAAGTGCAAATGTGGAGGCCTGCCACGTATCTTTCTTTCATTTAGCAAAGGCATTTTGGGGGGGGGGGTGTGAGGAGGCATTGCCACACTCCCGTTGACCAAGTGCAAATGTGGAGGCCTGCCAAGTATCTTTCTTTCATTTAGCAAAGAAACAGAATTGGATCTTTGTTAAAATAATACTGCCCTGTGTTTGCTGGGCAGTCCAGTTTGTCCGCTGCTGGTTGTCCCAGTTCCCAAGCAAAATACTGTCTTTGGAAATGGATCATAGTACTGGAGGCATGCACTGCACATGAATGGAAGTGAGATATAGGCTCTTCCCTCAAGCTTACAAATGAATACATTAGGACCATGGTATCTGTGGGGAATCAGTTCCAAGCCCTCCCCCCCCCCCCCGCCGGTTAATGCTAGAAAACACAGAAATATCAAACCCTATGCATTGCAGGGTTTCTCGCTCTTTCTAGTGGCCAGTTTGGGTAAATATACCCTCAGCATATGTCTAAATACGTATTTTAGGAGGTGGTTATTTAGTATTTTCAGTCAGTGGATAAGTGAATCAGTGGATACTGATGCTGCGGATAGAGGGGTCCTACTGTACACCAAAACATGGAAAGATGGGCTCATTTGGCAGTGCCTGAAGGAAGTGGGAAATTTTAAACAGGCCTTTCTGTCCAACTGAACCCAGGCTTCTGTTCCTCAAACAGAAAAGGAACTGTCTACCTGCATCTAGCAGCTGGCAGCCTTTGTTGTTCCCACTGTTTCTGGAAATCAGATTCTCCCTGGGTAACTGGGAACGGAGGAACCTTGTGGCTGCTTATTCTGTCTGGGGCCTGCCTGGTCGTCTCCTGGCCAAGCTGTGCTTCTGGGATGGGACGGAGGCGAAGAGGAGGAGAAACTGTCTGTGGCTGTTGATTTTTTTCTGTGTGCAGTGGTTGGAGATTCAGCCCATTGAATCGGATTGTCTGGAAAGCACCTCTGCTAGTAATCCAGCCCACACAGACAACTCCTGCGCATGTAGCAAAAATAAATCTCTGTGTGTTCCGTTGGCCTGACTTCCAGGTAAAGGTGCACAGGTTGCAGCTTGAGGCAGGAGGGTGGGCATGTTTTTGTTTTTGCATCTCTCAAACCCAGGACAATGCAACCTTAAGTGTTCTTACACTTCAACTTACATTCAGTGCATCTGCTGGTGGTGCCTTCCAAACTGAGAGGCATCGTTAAGGTGAGATACCAAAATACACTCCCTCCTGCAGATTCGCTGAAAGGCTCCAGCAGTGTTGGGTTCTAATCGTGCTAGCCATAAAACTGCTATCAAATAGGATTGAAGAGAACTAATTCCACTAATTACATTTGGACATCCCCACACCCACCCACCCAGTATCTATTAAATTAGAATTCTATTTGTATTCTAGTAATTCACTGCACATATCTCAGACACGTAGCTTAAAGCTGCTAGGAAGACCATGCCAATCAGTCTTGTATCTGGAGGCCTCTCTTGCAGATTTGCGTGACTACTTTTTATATACTATTCTGTGTGCTGTTGTCCTCTAAATTTATTTCTGTTTTATGCATCCTGATCTGGTTCATGTTGTCCTTTGCTCTCCATTCCATATTTTCTTTCCCCTGTTTCTACCTGGATCTGCTCCTTGCCCTCTTTCACAGTTTGTGGCCATCTGCATGCTGCTTTGTAACTCATTCCTACATCATCTGTGTTGCCAACCAAAGTCAGATCGTTCCTTGCTTCTAATTGCTATTTGCTCCTTGTTTTTTTTTCCCCTCCTCCATAAAGCTCTCCTCTATAAATTGTGGTGAGCCAAGAGCAAACGATGATTTAAACAACTTTACATGGCTTTCAAGTTAACTGGGCGTCACTTCTCATTTCTTTCAAATCATTACCAAACACTTTCCCCATCTGCTTGAAATGTGATGCCCTCTGTGTGTGTCTCACTGAAAAGGATTTCTCGGTGTGCATTATATTTTTTCTTCAATTCTTGGAGTGTGAGAGAAGTGCAGATTTATTTGGTACTCACTTGAGACTTGTAAGTTGTTAGCAGAGAATCTACGCCCTCTGAAGGATATATAAATGGTACTTACAAGGGATGCTGCTCTCAAATACTTTAGATTGTCAACAACCTTAAGTATATCTTAACACTTCAGTTCCCCCTGGTGGGAGCAGGGTAAGGTGTGGGAGCATATAGAAACTGGAATAGAATGCGTATTTGTCTGTTTTTTCCCCTCCGTCTAGTCTTGCAGTGTGATCTTCTGCTTTTCCTGAATATAATCATCTGACTCCCCATGACTCTTGATGGCAACTTGTAGTGTTACCTCAAGTCAAAGACATTTTTCTCCCCACTTGAAACTGAGGGGGAAAGTGAAATAAGGGAATAGCGGATACATGAAATACTTTTGCCTACTCAAGTAGCACTGTATAAGTGTTATGTTTTATTATTAAGTAGTATAGTTGGAAGATGGACTGTGCCTTCTTGTGTTGTCTTTCCTCTTTCCCTCCAAACCCTTCCCCGAAAATTGTTTGGACCACATGGAAGTATCCTACATTTCCATACACTTTTTTTTCGACAAGGAAGAGATCTTAATGGCAGACAAACATATCAGATTAGAGAGTTCTGCTAGCATCGGGTATCAGGTTTGAGGGACAGGGGACACTGCCCCCTTCAGGAGCTAGCCCCAGGCTTGTGCCCTTCTCTCTCTTGCTCCCCCACTCTGTGATTTGTTGGTTTCTTTTGGAGATGTTGAGCAGAGCTACTTAGGCAAACACACTGTTGCTCAGCAGTGAACAGGTAACCCAAGCTGCTGTTGGCCAGCCTGCTTCCATTAGGGCTCCTGGCTGTGGTGTTGCCATAGTTCATGTATCCCACTTCCACAGAGGGCATCTGGGCAGCCTCCCTTTTCACTGCTCCCTTTGACATGAAGTCCAAATGCAAGAACAGGCGGATTTTATAGGAATCTCTAAAATTTCCTCTACATTATCTTCCACTTTGGTTTTTAATGTCTGATGTTACCTCTGGCTTTCACAAACCTAGAACGTTCTCAGACTAGCTGTCAAAACTTACACTCTGTCTTAGGTTCTAGAAATGTTATTTCAATAGCCACTTCCCGCTTTACATGCCAGAGAAGTGGAAGAGAGGAGTGATTCCATGGCTGGTCCCTAAAACCCTTCGATTGGCAAACCAACCTCACACCTGCACTGGTTCCTTCAATTGCCGGCTGCTGTTGATGTCATTTCTTATTTTGTTGTGTTGAAACAGGTTGGGGAGACTCGGGAGGATAAACAGTTTTATGATGTGCTGGCCTTAGCTTTTGGAACACGAGGTTGCTCCTAGCTTTTCTTGGTTGTCTTTTGAATTTACCCGACTACGTAGAAAGACTCATAAAATGACAGAAGCGGGCCACAGGTGTTTGATTAGCTTGAGCTTTAAAACAAGGAATTAACAGCACAGGACAGGGCAGCCATTCAGTTTATGGGAGAAGCCACAGTTCTGCTGTTGGCTGTTAAAACAGCCTCATAACGCATGATTACCCAACTTCGGAGCCATTCTGTTGAAAATAAGTGGTGACATTTTACACACAATTAACTCACCTAGCACTAGTTTCTTGGTCCTGGGCGTGACATTGCTGTGTAGCCTTTAAAAGGATCCAAGTCTGTGCTGAATATTTTTCTGAAGTGGGAAACTTTTTCTTAAAACCTTGCAGGTAGCAGAAGATGACGGGTGTCTGGGAGCTGAGATTCTGCAGTCATCCTTCTCCCGGACTGGCTTGGGATGACCTCGTGTAATACAATGTCTTCTTTCCGCAGTTGAAAGAAATAGATAGCCGAAAGATCATCCACGCGATGCTGTCGTACGTGTGGCCCAAAGATAGGCCTGACCTCCGTGCCAGAGTTGCCGTATCACTTGGATTTTTAGCAATTGCCAAGGTAAGAACTGTTCCACGGTCTTGAAACAGAAAGCAGCTGAGGTTGCCTTAAAGAATTTTCATTGGATTTGGGAAAATTCTTAAAGCCTTTTCAAAATCCATTAAATATCTCTCTGTGTGTCTCTCTAATGGCCTAAAAAGTGGCCGGCCATCTTGATCTCAGTAATCGGCTACAGGTGCCTAGGAGGCAGTTCCATGAACGAACCAAATTTAAAGCCCTGTGCAAGTGGAACATTCCCAGATGCCTAGACTTGGTTCAACAAGATCGCACACTCTCTTCCTCATGGTGTGCAAACCTGGTTTAGCAGACGATATGTAACCTTTGTTACGTGACTGGCAAAATTCCTTCCCCCAGAGTGGGACTTCACCACGACCGGAACCAAATGGGCTGGAAACACTCGCTGTAGGTGCAGGAGGAGGAATGCTGTATAGAAGGAGCGCAGCACTGCACACCCGCACATCTTAGAGGGAACATTTATGACTGGTGTTGCATCCATTGATTCATAGCGGTCCAGATGAGCAAGCTTTGTCCAGGACCTTCGGGTGGGGTGGGGGATGGAGGAAAAAAGCATGGACATTGAAAGCCCCTTCACAGTCACTCAACCAAGGGGATTGGGCCCTTGTGGCAAACTCTTCAGCCCGAGCTGTCTGGCACAAGCAGGGCTGTCTTGTGATCCCCACTCAGATGAGCTTGTGAGTTGTATTCACAGTGAATACGTCCCTCCTCTGCAAAGCGGTCCATGTGTGAACAGACAGCTTGCACCACACTGGTAGTTTCGCTGTTTTGCACTCCCAAGCAGGCCTTAGAGAGATTCTGTTGCTGGCATTTTGAAATCCTCATTTCCTGCACTCAGCGAGAGCCCCTCCTTGTGGTAGAGCTTTAATTGAGGCAATTAATGGATAGTTGACCTAGATTTGGGGCAGGCACAGAGTTGGGCATCTAAGCTTGGTGGTATTTTGTGAGTGCTTGCTTTGATGCACCGCGGGAGTACATCTTAGCATATTCTACTGTAACTCTTTAGGATTGGACAGTACAGAAATAAAGGAATCAAATGTGCCAATAAAAGTAAATTCTAGTTCTAGGATTTTTAGAGAAATGCAGTGATAATACAGGCTTGTAGCAAGAGTAAAACATGGGGAGCAAACATTTTTCTTTCTCTTTCCCAGATGTGTACAGGATGTGTGTTTAGGGGTTACACGGTTTGCCTGTTCTGTTTTGTTCTTTGGTCTGATGGGAGCATTCAGAATTTGTCAGTGATGAATGTTTATTTGGACCCAGTGGCTCAAAATGATGAAGGGGGGGCCACATGCTTAAAAGATCTGCATGGGAGTGGGGTAGTTCATGTTGGTGAGAAACCATGCAGTCTCTTATCTGCATTCAGCAGATCTGCCTCATTACAAAAGTGGGAAGGAGGCTGCAAGGAGGAGACACAAAGTTGATAACGAGAGAACACTTGCAGGAGAGAACTTTTAAATTTCCTTTTAGCTGAACAGGAGAGTGCTACAAGCAAGCTGAACCACAGAATGCTTTGTTGTTCAAGGTGTATCTGCTGACCTCGTATTAATTTTCAAGGAATGTTTCTATTATAATTTTTTACAACACTCTTGCTTTTAAAAAAAGAATCCAGTCAAGACAGCTTATAAATTGTTTTTAAAAATAATGTGTTGATAAGATCGTAGCAGATAAAATAAGCAAAAAGTCACTCTTCCTCAGATCAGCAAAATAACTTAAGTTCAACACACCCAATCTGCTGGGGAGAAGTCCTGTAGTGATCACCAACCTTGGGCCTTCAGATGTTCTTGGACTAGAACTCCCAGAAGTCTTCATCACCACCTCTGCTGGACAGGATTTCTGGGAGTTGAAGTCCAAGAACATCTGGAGGCCCAAGGTTGGGGACCACTGCTTACAGGAAGGTAGAAGACCCACCAAGAGGCCACAATGAACTTTCCTAATTAACTAGACCTTCTTGATAGATAATAATGAGTGGAGGGTTTTGTGGAGGATAGTCTGTTAGCTCTCCTAGTCCTCAGCCATTTGGGGCTTTGAAGGTTATGACCCATAACTTTAATAAGGCCTGGAAACAGTCCCAAAGCCAGTGTTGCTAACATAAAAAGTAGAGATGGGCACGGACTGCTGGTTTGGCAATTCAACCTGGTTCATTTATCCCGAACAGGTGCTTGGCGGTTCAGCGTCCTACCCCCTCCAGCAGGTGCCCGCTTGGCAGCAGCACCCCAGCTTCCATGCCCTGCTGCCTCTGGACACTGCTTCTTTGTGGGTGCCGATCAAAGGGGACGAGGCCCCAAACACCTGTTGCAGCAGTGAACAAACCAGGACAAACTGCCCATCTCTAGTAAAAAGCCCTTGTATGTCCTTTCTGCCAGTGCTGTAGCTGTTCCATACAGGGCCAACACTGGTAGCCTTGTGGAAGAAGTCATCTGGTCTAGACATCAGCATGGCAAGAGACATCCTTTCTAAACAGGCCAGTGGGACATAGTGAACAAAATGAGATGTGTTTGGCCAAAGGTTCCCATGAAGTCCCATTTTTAGTCCAACAGGACAACAAAGCCAGCATTCCTTATCTTGCTGTTCCCTAGATGTTTTGAGGTGGTAGTCCATGAAAACATGCTAAATAAAACATGGTTGTCTGTAAGCCCCCCAAAAGATGCTAAGTTGTGGAACATGGAGCTGCAAATGTCCAGGGTCTCAGAAACAGTGGTCCCTCCCTGACCGTAGTAGTTGTCCAGTCCACAGTATATGGAAGCTTGAAGCACTTGGGAGCTTGATGACACTGGTGGTCTAAATGGCTTGAAGCCTTTCGCTTTTGCTCCACTGGGGATCAAGTTGTGTATATCCCTGATAGATGGATGGAATTCACGAGTTTAATAAGAGCTGCTGTCACCTCCTGTCACGTCGGCAGACTTTTTTGGCCTTTTGCTCATGGGCTGAGCATCCATTATTTATGAGTCAGGCACATCTTTCACAGAATCTGTGTCGCTGCTGACTGTTAATTTTCTACGTTGGGGAGGGGAGCAGGCTGAAAAATGCAAAGCACGCCCATGGAATGCCAGGGGAATGTTAAAATGGATGATATGCCTGCCTCACGAGTATGTCTTATCTCCCTAATCAACAAGGGATATGTCAATGCAATATCTAAACTCATTTAGCTAGACTCAGTTTCGTGGACCCTTCGGGGAAGGTCTTCTAATGAAAAATCTACGCTGGCTTTTTTCTCCTACAGGCAGTGCTAGGACCAAGTCCCAGGAAAGCAGAGAGTCTTAGCCTATTCTGTCTCTGGCAGTAACGATCCAAGAACATTTTATGTCATAGCTGTTCCTGGTAATATCATATAGTATGCACTTTTTATGTTTGAATCCCATCCCTCACTCAAGGAGCTCAGAGAAATCTCTTTAAGTTTATTGGGTTTCCCGTGCTCCTGCAGTTCTTGGTTTTAGGCACATTGCCAGGTGCTATTTAGCAAACTTTTTCTGGTGTAGCTCAGCCCGCCATATATTCTATTCTCACAGATAATGCAGATGTTGATTTCATCTCTTCCTTCGTGGTTAATTTCTCATCAATGTACAGAGCTTTGCTATTGTTTCAGCCATGACTATAGATTCCCCAGAAGCAGAAGGATGTGCTCACTCCCTAAAGTGTGGGATGGTGCCTGCCCCTTTCTGTACCTCACTGCTATCCTTAACAATGCTTAATTGCAGTGCTACAGACCAGTTAACAATAAGCCATGGGTTTCATTAATCCTGACTGACATCAGTAGGACCAATTATCCCTACCAACGAGTTATTAAAAGCGTGGCTAACGTCTGTAGGTCTGTGGCCAACAGGCGGATAGAGCCTGGCCCTCTTGGTTACAGGGCTTGGGAAGGTAACACCTCCCTTTGCTCAACAGGGCATACCATGTTTATTCCACAGCAGAGAAGGGATTTAAGTCTTTTTTTAAAAAAATGCTGTGGGAGGCAGGGAGACTCCAGAGGCAGAACTACAAGAAAGAAAGAATATCTAAGGATTTCTTTCCTGGGAAGTCAAGAGAGAGAGAAATCGTTCTGAGGGCCTGAAATTTGTGGTGGGGCATAGATGGCCATGTCATGAAGTCCTTAGAGAAGAACCAGGTTTGCCTTTGCTCATTTACTGACACCCCTTTGCCCACCCGGGAACCTCATTGAAATGATGTATGTCTCGGATCCTCTGCTGTTATTTACATGTATAGTAATTGTCTCCCTGCCTTGGAAGTGTTCATCTCTGAGGTCTAGGCTTGTAATTTCAGCATTTTGTGCTTATGAACACGGAGCGTTAGGTTTGGTACAATGTTTTTAGGAAAATGAGTATTATATAGACATCACCCAGGGTCTGTAGATTGCCTCTTTAGATTTGCTAGCTGAAGAACACTTTGAGCTTATATTTCTTGATCAGTCTCTCTCCGTATAGCTCTGGCGTAATGGCAAGAGTTCAAATTTCGATCTACATGCCATGATAGAAAGTTTGATTTCTGTTGTGCCTGTAGGTGTTGGGGCAGGGTGGGTTTCTGTTCAAAGAAGGAAGAGTGTTAGACACAAGCTGCTGGATACGTGTGTGGCATTCTGGATCGTGGCCATGAAGGACTTCCTTTAGTGCTCCATCCATTGTTCTTAGGCTAGAGACAGTTGTGGGATTAGGGCTTCTTTTTTGAACAGGATACTGAAAGAAAGGTGAAGACAGGTAGCTGATGGGAACCCAAACTGGATGTGTGCATGGGATCTGATATTAGGCCACCTCATTCGTATTCATGTTGTTGCCCTCTGGGGGGGTGAGAGGGACCTGTTTTAAATTTCATTTAAAGATTTTTGTGTTGGAGGGGAAGGAAGTTCTCCTGCTAAGCCATGACTGTGCCAATTAATTTAATTGCAGGTTAGGAGGGAAGCTTGAAGGGGGGCTACAGCCTCTTAACTTTAGAAATAGAACAGCGGCAGCAGCTATTCTAAGCCTGAGCATGGCTTAAATCATATGGTCTAGATGGCTTTTGAAAAGCAAAATGGCTGCAGAGGGACTTGGTGGAATCTGCAGCAGATCAAAGCCATCTGCATTACAGTAAATTTCATTTCTACTGAATAGACTCTCCTAGGGAAACCTGTTTTATGCCCGCTAAGTGATGGTCATTACAATGTAAAGTAGATGACAAGGGAGTGTGGTTTTGTTATAAAAAAGATGTTGAAAAATCTGAGTTTCTAAGCAAGTAACACCAAAGGGAGTTGACCCAATGTTTTGTTTTTATTTATTGAAAAGCTGTGTTTGGAAATTAAGATTCCAGAGTGGTACATTTCCTTAAAGCTTTAAAACCTATTTAGCACAGCTTCAATTCCTTGGAGCCCTGTGTCGGAAGTTATTTTCCAGCCACAGCGGCCTGTTGGTTTGTTTGTTTGTTTTTACTGATAGTGATTTGCAATTCTAGAATCTTAAGTGTGTGAGGTCTCCAGGGATTTTGCATAATTCTGATATAACTTAGTGCCTGAGGGCAGAAGAAGATATTCAGCAACAAGCAGAGGTGCTGAGCACCTAGCAAAGTCAAAGGGTTGCAGAGCAACAGGGGCAAGCAAGCAACTTTCAGGAGAAAAGCAGGGGTAGGATTAACCCCAGCCTTACAGCATTGAGCGCTCCGGGAGGCAGTGGAAGACAGGAGGGCCTGGCATGCTCTGGCCCATGGGGTCACGAAGAGTCAGAAACGACTAAACAACAAAGTCTTATTTGAGGTCTATCACTTCTCTGATATTAGAGTGATAACAACTAATGAATTTTCATTTTATGGCTCTCAAACTTTTTTATTTAGAACTGTTATATTTGTGCTCACATTCCTAGCCAACAATTTAGTTAATTAGTTTCTATCCCCAAATGCAGGAATAAGTTGAAGTTGTGCCAGTGGTGGCAAAACTTGCCATTTCATCAACTTATGTTTTGTTTGAAGCCTTGTGTGAACTTGTTCCAAAAAGGCAGTTCATAAGAAGAAACAATACCTTTGCATATGCAGTAGTTGGCCAGAGAGTCTTAAAACTAGAGGCAGGCATTGGGTGTTGAGAAGAGAGAAGTGTGGAAATCTTGGTCTCCATGAGACTGGAAGTACAGTGGACCCTCTACTTAAGGAATTAATCCATATTGGAATGGTGGCTGCAAGTTGAAAAGTCTGTAAGTCGAATCTCCATTGACCTACAATGCACTGAAAACCGATTAATCCCATAACCAGTGGTTTTTATTCTATTTTTATTCCATTTTGGTTTTTTTCTGGTCTGTAAGTCGATTCTCTGGCGGCAAGTCGAATCTAAATTTTGCAGCCAGAGAAGTCTGTAACTCGAAAAGCCTGTAAGTCGAGCCGTCTGTAAGTCGAGGGTCCACTGTAATGGAAAATCATCATATCCCTATTTGACTAGAGCTGCCAATGTTTACACTCTCAATAAGCAGCAAGCATTAACTCTTCACATCATGGGTCCTTGAAAAAAGCAGGAGTGAACACTTCTCTGTAGTACTCTGTTATTTCATGAGAAAAGAGTGGAAAGTGTTTTATGCTTTATGCAGTGGGTGATAAAATTGCTCAGCTAGGTCCAGTTTGGATAAAGCCATCAATCTGCATAGTTGTTTACACTTGAGGAGATGGACAGGGTGCTTGGTGCTGTTTCATATTCAGCCAGGGTGCTGGTCCTGGATCCCAGTCCATCTTGTCTGATGCCAGCTTGTCAAGAAAGGCTGCTGTAATTCTGCTAAGTAAATCTTTCCAGGTGAAATACTCTGAACTGCCCCCAGTGACTCTTCATAACTTATCAGCGCTATTAATACACGCTGGGTTGAGTCTTTCTATTTTGTGTCTCCCAGTCTTATCATCATTTTAATGAGTCTCCCAAATGAAGCAAAGCACATTCTCAATGAACTGTTTGGTTGACACAAAAGCTGGTTTTCATGAAGCGCCCGTGGGAAGCTCATGCTTCTATTCTCGGAGGGCAGGCCTCTTACTGCAGTTCCCGTTACGTTGAAACCTGTAGCATCATCCCGCTAAGTAGTTAATAGCAGAATTTTGTAGCTGCGGCTAATTCAGACAAAATATTTATACTTTGTAAATAAGCATTTTTGCACATCTTGTATAATTGCTGCGTTCTGTGCTTTTCAGGGCATGAATATAGTGGTTCCCTTCATGTTTAAACATGCAGTAGACAATCTCAACCAGATGTCTGGAAATGTTCTGAACCTGAGTGATGCACCCAATACAGTTGCAACCATGGCAACAGCTGTTCTGATTGGATGTAAGTGTGATTCTTTAATCTGTTGACAGGTGCCGACTTTCTTCGGGAAAGGTTTGGAACATTAATGCACATGACCTTTCACTACTATCACTGCCATGCATCTGGGACAGAAATTATTCTGTGCAGTTTCCCCCTTTTGAGGATTTTCTTAAACTTATATCATGCCATCAACAAAAGCAATAATTATAGGCTATAAGAAGGATTTTAGTCTTGGGGGTGGGTGGGTTCTTTTTTAATATATTCCAAAATGAAGTTCCACGTTTGTAGTATATTTGAAATTGGAACCTAATAAATAACAGCAGTAAATAATGTAAAATGTTAAGATGCTGGGCCTCCATAAAATAAGCATGTTTTTAAAAGATTTTTTTTTTTAAAAAAAAATTGTTTTCTTCACCAGATGGCATCTCACGAGCTGGGTCTGCTTTATTTAACGAAGCTCGAAATGCTGTCTTCGGGAAAGTGGCCCAAAGTTCCATCCGAAGAATCGCCAAGAACGTCTTTCTCCACTTGCATAACTTGGACTTGAGTTTCCATCTGAACAGGCAGACGGGAGCCTTATCTAAAGCCATTGACCGAGGAACGAGAGGGATCAGCTTCATCCTCAGTGCTTTGGTCTTCAACCTGGGCCCCACCTTGTTTGAAGTGTCCCTTGTCAGTGGGATTTTGGTACGTGTTGCTTCGTAAAACTGCAACGATTGTAATTGTGGTGATCATGTGCATTTATGATGATGGGTGATACAGATAGGAAGACTGCAGACAAAATATGTTCCGTGGGGGATCTTTATGAGCCCTGACACCACCACTCCTCAAACCCCTGTAAATCTTCCCCTGGCTGAAATAATTGTGACTTGAAGAAATGCCAGTTCCTCTGCGCCTTCCCTCCCTCTCTCTTTCTCTGTTTATTTTTATTATAATTTTATTGACTACAATATACAACTCAACATAAAAGAAAACAAAGAGGAAAATAATTACATACACATACCTTAAAGCAGGGGTGTCCAACCTTTCACCTTCCCTGGGCCACATTAGAAGATGAAAATTTGGTTTGGGCCGCACATACAAACCACAAGAAAACCTCTTGTTTATTACTGTCTGACCTTGTGCTTCCTCTCTCCTCTTCCTCCTCCAGTATTATAAATGTGGTGCACACTTTGCACTAATAACCTTGGGGACATTAGGAGCCTACACAGCATTCACAATAGGAATTACACGATGGAGGTAAGGCATACCCTCCAGTTGGTTGGAATGCGCTGATTTGTCTGGAGCTGGATTGAGAACAACTTTATACGTAACCCTTTTGTCTTTCAGAACTAAATTTAGGATAGAAATGAACAAAGCAGATAACGATGCTGGTAATGCTGCCATTGACGCGCTGCTAAATTATGAAACTGTGAAGGTAAGCCATTAGCACTTTTAACTTTTGCCATTAACTCCGTTAGATGTTATTATCCATTAATGTCTATTTCTTTCTCTTTGCTCAAAGGAATCTGTTCCTAATAATGGGTAGTAAAATTCACCCTTGTTTGAATGTTCTCAGAATGTTTATATGGGTTTGCACCAAGTATTTCCCCTGATTTATGTGTTCTCCTGAAACAAAGTGGATTTTTTTTTTCAGGAAAGTACATCTGTAGAACTTAAATGTTGTTAGGATGTATTTCCCATAAGCAGTCTAAGAACGACAAGAGTGCTTCATTGAGGAAGGTGGATTTGAACCTCAGCCACACCGGTCTGAGCCCAACCCTCTTACATTGGCAGCAGAACACAATTGAACCTCGGGGGTGTGGGGAGGCAGCTATAACTTGGGTGTCTCTTAGCCACCAGGAGCAGAAGTTTGGCATGAAATGATGCAGGGCATGCCCATGTTCTTTGGCCGGTCTTGCTTCAGAATTTACCCAGCATATTCCTAAGAACGTGGATCCTAACTCTTTCCCTCTCCATTTGCCAGTATTTCAATAACGAAAAATACGAGGCTGAGAGGTATGATGGATATTTGAAGATATATGAAAATGCCTCGCAGAAGACTACCTCTACCTTGGCTCTGCTTAACTTTGGACAAAATGCCATATTCAGCATCGGTTTGACAGCTGCTATGGTACTAGCCAGCCAAGGAATCCTCGCAGGTAACATCCACGTGTCTCATCTTAGTGTTTTGTTCTGTGTTCTAAGTCTTGCATATTGGCTTGGATCCTGATACGTAAAAGGCCTGAAGGCCTGAATAGCTGTACGGACGTCCATCATGACAGTGACAAGTAAACTGAAAGACAGTCAGGCCATTTTTATTTCACCCCTCTTGCAGATAATCTGCCTCTCTTTTTTTGAGATGATTTGCTTGATGCATCATCTGCTCAAAGACTTACCTTTCGTTTTTCAGTACTTTTGCCCGCGTCCTACTACAGGGATTCCCGAAGGCACGAAACAGACTCTTCCTCCTGGGTGCAACACCCAGATGACCACCGAAATTAGTTTAAAAGGACTTTGTACCATTCTATGGTTTTAAGTAAATCAAGTTTATTTTCAAATTGGCTGCAGTGTACATTGAAGAAAAGAACAAAATATCTAGCAAATAAGCCCATTCCAACTCCTATTTTTTGTTTTTTCATTAAGGTAACATGACAGTGGGTGATCTAGTGATGGTGAATGGATTGTTGTTTCAACTTTCTTTACCCCTTAACTTCTTGGGAACCGTATATAGAGAGACGAGACAAGCGCTCATAGACATGAACATCTTGTTCACGCTGATGAATGTAGACACGAAAATCAAAGTGAGTATTGCATGACAAATACTTCTTAAAATGTTACCAAATATAGTAGAATGAATGGGGTCACCTTGTGGTGATGCCACTTCACATAAGAATTGATCTAAGTAAGTAAGTAAGTAAGTAAAGGGAATGCTTTATGTAAGGAATTAAGGCAGTACCTTAAATATTTCATTTCTGAGATTACTTTTTAGCAAATGGCAAAGCAGTGTTCCTGATCTTTGCACTATACTATCCATTGCTGTCTTGTTTGATCATTTTTAATTGATGATGCAGAATTTATTGGGCCAAACACTTGCTAGGATGCAAAGGATTACAGCCGAGGATTCTTGAGCCTTTAGAAAAGGAGGCGGGGGGAGGAAATTGAGTTAACCTGTACAGCTGAAATGGCCAGTTTTTCTAACCTCTTCCGGTGACAGTCTTTGCTTCTCCCACCTTTTGAATTGGACTCCACTGTTTACCTTGTTAAGCTCTTTGAAATAACTTCTGGGCCGTGTGTAAACCAGCTCTTTTCTTTTATTAGGATAAAGAGCTGGCTCCGCCCCTGCAGATCACACCACAGACTGCTACCATCGCCTTTGATAACGTGCATTTTGAATACCTTGAGGGGCAGAAAGTTCTCAGTGGCGTGTCTTTCGAAGTCCTGGCAGGAAGAAAAGTGGCCATTGTAGGAGGCAGTGGGTCAGGGTGGGTAAACCGATGTACTAAATTCTGCATCATTGATTGATTTCACTATTTTTAATTTTTTTTAATGAACATGTTTTGTTTTTTGTGTTTTAAATGGCAAGCCAAATCAATCAGGTTCTGATTTTGTATGTGTTTTTGTTTCGTTTTGTTTTTTAGGAAAAGCACCATTGTAAGATTATTGTTCCGCTTCTTTGAACCTCAGAAGGGGGAGATTTATGTTTCGGGCCAGAACATACAAAACGTCAGTCTGGAAAGCCTGAGGAAGGCCATAGGAGTTGTCCCTCAGGTACTGTGCTTCTCACGTTTTGGGAAATGGGGTACTGTATTGTAAGAATCTGCAAACAGCCACAAGTGCTGTAGTGGGTGGAGTTAATAAAGCCGTGGTGGAGTCATCATGGAGCGGCTGAGCCGAGGGCTGGGCTGCAGAGAAAAGGAGAATCGGAACAAGTTGTCAGTTGGCAGGATGTCAATAAGAGCTCCTATTTAGAGCCAGGTCTGTTTTATTGCATTCTTTTAGACTCATATCTTCCAGTCTTTCCATTCCATTTTGAGATTAGCGTGCTATACGATCTTAATTACATGAAATAATATATTGCATTAAGCTGAAATAGGAACTCTGTAAAGGCAGCATTCAAATAACGTGGATGTCAACAGTGGAAAACCAAAAGGTCTCCGGCTGGTAGTGGAAAGACCAGGGCTGTCCCCAAGCAAATCTCTTGTGGAAGAGTCCTTCACAGCTGGAATCCCACTGTTGCAGCAGTTCCCAGCCTTGGGTCCTCAGATGTTCTTAGACTACAACTCCCAGAAATCCCGGCCAGCCCAGCGAGTGGGGAAGGCTTCTGGGAGTTTTACGTAGTCCAGGAACAATTGGGTTATCCAAGTTTGGGAACCACTGTAGCTAACCACGGTGCCTCAGAAGGCAGGTGGGACCTAGAGGAGTCCTCTCAAAACATGCACAGGCATAGAGGCAGGCAGGCAATACCTCAAGAATATATTTATGATTCAGGGACTCGTTCCTTCATGTCCCACCTTTCCAAACAATGAAGCTCAAGTCCATAAGGAACAAATAGGGTAAAATATGGAAGAAACCAGTTCTGTGGGAATGTAGAGCAGGGCATAAAACAGGAATAGCTTTTGAAAGGTCCAATAAAATGGGCCAGTTGGGGGGGGGGAAACAGCCTCCCCCAAGGTAGCAACTGATGAAACACACCTGCTGAATGGGTCAGAGGTCTGCCAGAAAGATCTGTAACGTTTAATGGATATCCACCTTGGGGTGGCATGGTGGATCCCATCAAACAGCTCCTTTGTCAGATCTTTGCCATGTACATTTCCAACGTTTATGAGACACTGACAAACATATTTTTCAGCTATCTCAGATTTGGGGCAAATTTAGTGTGGGGGAAAGCCGTTCTTCAGGTAATCCATGTAAGGCTTTCTATGTCACCATCTCCACTTTGAATTATACCTGGAGGCAGATTGGTTGCCAGGCAAGCTGTTCAGTTATGAGAAGGAAAACGTACGTTGCCTGCAGAAAGCTGCCGTCAGCAGCCTGCTTTCTGAACGAGGTGAATTTTCTGAACTCAGTGTAACTACCGAAATCTTCTTTGGCTGCTCGTCACTGTTGCCAGGATGAACTCCACTTTGGGCAGCCCACGGGCCAGGGTGCTTAAGGGTATTTGCCACCTGCCGGGAAGCAGCTTGATCACACATCCAGTTCATCAGTTTTCTTCTATACATTGTTCCCATTTGTTAATGTATTGTTTGTAACTTATTTTGTTACAGTCTATTCGAATCATTCTGTTTGTATTTCCATATTGTATATTTTGTATTTAGTAGTAGTTGTTAACTCCTTGAATTACAGTAGCAGTATTTGAGATACTTTCAATACACATTTAGGATTCATGTTCCTAAAAACTGACACTTCAGTAGTTTTCAGGCAGGTACCTACTTCAGCCACAGTGAAAATAAAAACAGGAAAATATTATAGAGCCTTCAAGGCTAACAAATTTATTTCAGTGCAACTTTTGTGGATACGGTCTGGCAAAGAGTTTGGTGGATAGCGTTAGAAGAGTTGTGTCTGAAGAATTGAGCTGTGTCCACATTGAAATTAATTCATTATCCTTCCAAGTGGCCCCAAATGCTCTTCTTTTTGTTGCTGATATTGTTGTGATAATTTAATAACACCTTGATAAGAACATGATGACTCTTCTAGATGACCTTGCAGGCTTTGCAGGCTGCTTCTTAGGGGATGTCATCATCTCCGTGTGTCAAAATAACAGAAACCATGTCTTCTGCTCTCTTCCCAACCCTGCCTGTGCTTGCATGGAGTAAAATTATTCTTACAGCCACTGCGGTCTCTCATTAAAATATGCTCAAAGCCCTGTTCCCTGAAGGAGCTCACTGGGCCGTGGTCCTGCTTTCCTTTTTTCCCCCCTTAGGATCCTGTCCTGTTCCATAACACCATCTTCTACAACCTTTCGTATGGCAATGTCAACGCCTCTGCAGAAGACATCTATGCGGTGGCAAAACTGGCAGGAATCCACGATGCTATTCTTAGAATGCCCAATGGGTACAACACCCAAGTGGGTGAGCGAGGTCTGAAGCTGTCAGGTACGTTAATGAGCGTGCAACTTGTCTCCCTGCTCACATTCTTTCCGCCTCGCCTCAGGCTTGGTGCACAGTTTATGCTTCAGCCCAACTGTTAGTGATGTGACTTGCTTAGTGGTTAAGGTAAAATGTTGAAGTTAATATTCAGTGGCTAACCAGCAATTCAGCCTTGAAATTCTGACACTTAATCAACAAGCTGGTGAGAGAACTGTATTACTGGAAGTAGAGAGCTGTCGCGCCTTTTCGTTGCTTCTCTTTGCAAAAATGTGATGTGTGCAGTGGTAGTTACCAGAAAGCTTGGTTATTGACTGGGGGTGATCAGTGACTGCTGGAGGGGGTGAAATAGGGTCTGAGGCATAGTATACGATGACCTTTCATGAGGCATCTGATTCAAATGTAAAGGTGTAGCGATAAATGTACAACTTCCCTCTATCTAATAAAGACTTCCCTGTGTTGAGCAGGCTGTGTTGGAAATGAAGCCATTTAAAGGTTGAAATGATTTTACGGTCCTGGTAATGTGCTGCTTGGCTGTGTCTAAATGTGGAAGGTTTAATGGCAAAAGTGGTCTTGAAAGAAAGAGGCAAGGGTAGGCGACGATGGATGAGCTGAACTGAGCAAAATGCTTAACCTGTTTTTCTCCAGCCTTTTGGCTTTGTGTGTAAATTTATCTGATGCATCATCTTTAGGTTTTATGCTAAACTAGGGCAGGGGTGGGTGGGTGGATTTCTTTTTCTCCCCTTCCCCCATTTTTGGTAAATTAAATTTGTTAAAACCAAATTCTACACATGTTACTTGGGAAAGGAAAAGAAACTCCCGTCTTTTGTGAGCAGATACTGTGAAATATTGGTCGAATTTATTTTGTGCGTATCGCTCAGCAGGTTGACTTGTTTATTTAGAAGAAAGTAGGAGAAAAGACCTTGTGTGTATGTTGTTGTTTTTTCTTTGTTTTGCTTCTATGGAGAAATTGCTGGGATAGGAGCAGGGACTGGAGGGGATGTGTCTTCCTAGTCCTACTTTGCAACCCTTATTTCACACCAATGAATTTTGCACTGAATGATTTGTTGTGTTTCTGAGGTTTTATCAGAACTTTCTACATGTATTTATGTATGTATTTTTAAAAAATACTTGAAAATGACACAGCTGGCCAAATGCTTCTGGTTAGTTTACAATTTTTTTAAAAACCACCAATCGATATAATCACAGATATTACAATAAAAGCAAATATATCAGCCTAAACAGCATCAGTACATTAAGTTAGGAGACAGGCCAGCAATAAAACCTAAACAGTCAGAAGAGAAATAAAAAATAAATAAAATGCCAAATGTTTGCTGGACGTGTATGTTCTTTGCCTTGTGTCTTGAGGCCTGAATCCAGTTGGCAGACCCATTGAATCAACAATTTGCATAACGTTAAATGCAAATAAGGTGATTTTTCCATTCCCTTATTCATGGTTCAGATCAATGGTTCTTAACCTTCGGTTACTCAGGTGTTTTTCGACTGCAACTCCCAGAAGCCTTCACCACCAGCTGTGCTGGCTGGGGTTTCTGGGAGTTGCAGTTCAAAAACACCTGAGTAACCCAAGGTTAAGAACCACTGGTTCAGATAACATATACCTTACACATCAATTTACCTTAGTAAAGGTTCTGTTTAATTTCTGGACTTCTACCTTCTAAAGTTAATGCTGTAATCAACCAGTACTTCCATCTGAAACCTGATTATATATGTTAATTAAATATTTTCACTGTTAATTATACTGTTGACTTACTGTGGGCAAAACTGGAACAAATTGGCTTACTTTGATGGAAGTAAAAGATATGTTAGGTTGTGCAAGAAACGTGGGTAGCCAACATAAACATTCATACAGCTGTAAGCAAGGTGGTAAAGAATGGTTGTATTGGAGCCATGTAATGACATGTTTCACATCTGCTTTCTGACCTTTTAAATATTGGTGTGTTTTTTTTTAAAAAAAGACCCAGTATAGCCCTGCTCCTCTTTATTTTATGGGATTGGTCCTAGTTTTGATGGAAGTTGCATGCTCATCACTTTCCATAATAGTAGCCATGAGGATTTAAAAATGGAAGGGGGGTGCATTTTTTTGTACAGACATCATGTTTTTGTTGTGTTCAGAAGTATGAAAAACTGGAATTACGAACGTTCAGAAAGTGCTGCCTTTTTATAGCGTGGGAAGAATGAGAAATGGTTATGGTTTTTCAAGTTAAAGGACTGTTCAAGAGCTGCAGTATGGAAAGCACTCTTTGCGCTTTAAAGCTCTTGTTTATTTGTATCATTCCTGATCCTTCACTTGAAGTTTTAAGTGTGGTGAGGAAGCATGCATGTTAGCGTTGACTGTTGTTACCTCTCCAGCCGCCATGGTGTGATACCCTATTTGAAGAAGAGCAGATGGTGTGGACTACAGGCCACTGTGGGACAGGCACACCATTAGACGGACGCTGTGCCTTCTGTTCGGCCAGAGCTCAGTGAGGTCACAAAGGGAGATGCTTGTGTACAAACGTTCTTAGGCACACCTGCACATACCGGGAAGCCACACCCAGCAAGGTTTTTACAAGGCATCCCCAACCCTGCCCCAGTCCCAGACTAGGAGCTAAGCAGGGCCAGCCCCCATTCATATTTTGATGGGAGGCCACCATATAGGGCTCAGGGGAAAATGCCACCTAAAACCTAATGGTATTCAAGTGCAAGGCACCTTTCCTGTGTTCGTACATAGAGGTAGCAAAATGCATGGGTGCATGTGTCACACATGACTTGTGTAGAGTTTGTACTGCTCTTGTACAGCAGCTAAGTATAGTATCACATTAGCAAAGACCTTGATCTACATTTTTGAGGTACACCAGAACCTCTGTGTCAGTATTTGCAGTTTCACTTACCTGCTGCCTGAAGATATTAAATTAAAAAAAAAAAAAACAGAAATGTGCCTTTCCAATATGTATTACCAGAACTGACTGCTGGAGGGAACCAGAGACCTTGAAATATATAGGGATTGCTATGCCCATAATTTCCGACATTGGCCGGGGGGGGGCGGCAGCAGCTTGGAACCAATCCCTTGGAATCATATGCTATACACCCATTGTTCCATATTGCCGTTGTATGTCTTGATGAGGGCAAGACCTTCCCATTTTAATTTAGTTTTCATGGAGATGGTATGTCTGAACTGTGTAGTGAGTGTAGTAAAGAAACCAAGAAAGGTCCACGGAGTGGGGGGGGCAGGGGTGTTGTTGTGCATTTCCCTCCCCCCTTCCAAATATGGGCCATAGCAAATGTGAAGCATTTCAGGCCAGGCTTTTTATGAAAGGAATGACTGCAAACAGGAACCGCATCTTGGGTGAATAGTTCAATTTCTGTTTATTGCTCAGCTTCAGTGCAGCCACTTAAGGCTCAAAGTGAAATGAGATTATTATCCTCCTAAAGTGGTTTGCTAAAACAAGTCAGTGTTAGTTAGGAGGGCACATCACCGAGAATATGAAGGCATTAAACGGAAGCGTTGTCAAACCTTGGGGATGTAGCTTGGAAAGGCAGGTGCATATATCACCATTAATTACTTGGGCCACCTTCAAAACGTGAAATGGAATTTAAATTTCTTAAAACAAGCTTGCATGGTCTAACTAATAGTAATAATCCTGTTTGAAGGGGCTTGGGCAAACTGGCGTGATATGGAACACTATCAGATGGCGGGGAAATAGAGCTTGCCATGCCATAGATGCCCGGTTCCTCCAGGGCTGATTTTACAGTATTGGCCACAAATGATACCATGTATGTGTGAAGGTCCAGGCTCTGCAATCTGTGCTGCTTTCAAGTAGTGTCTGGACCACCAGCGGGCTCAGATTCTATGCAGCTTGTGCTTCACGTTGCACTCAGAAGACATCTGGATACGGCCTGTAAAAGTTGCTTACCTGTGATAAGGGGCTTGTCATGATCTGAGACTTGACAGAGGCTCCCTTTGTTTAATCTTGCTCTTTTTTTGTCCCCACGCTTCGTTCCTTAATCTTCTGAGGAACTCAAGTGCTTGATAGCAGTAGTGTGTGTGTGTATGTGTGTGTGTGTGTGTGTGAAAGATCATTTCACTGGGTGGGCAAAGAAAATGTGCAAGTGTTGTTTGTAGGGTCCCCACCACCACGACCACCATTTCAGGGTGGCACTCGAGAGGAGAAGAGTGCCACTAAATTCACTTCATATTTTATTTCATAGGAGGAGAAAAGCAGAGAATTGCGATCGCCAGGGCCATCCTAAAGAATCCTCCCATTATCCTCTACGATGAAGCTACTTCTTCTTTAGATTCCATTACGGAAGAGGTAAGTGAGCTGCTGGGCTTCTCCTGCTTCCTCCCAGGGCAGCCTCGGCCCTCTTGGGTGCTCCCTGCAGAGGCCTCTGGTTCGGTCACTGAGACTCCTGGCCTTCCCAGTGTTGGGTGCAGAAAGAGCGAGGGTCCAACGCTGAATATTGTTTTGCCCAGCGTATCTTGGCACCCTTTGTGTCTGCCTAACAGCGAGACCTGGAATCTTTTCAGTCTGAAGCTGTGGGTAGCCACTTAACATTCATACAGGTCAGTCCTGTAAATTATTTCTGCATAATGCGGACTGCTGAACCTTTCCACTCCTGGTGTCATCTTTGCAGAGAGTCGGCTCAGGTGTTCCTAACCCTTTGGCCTGGTATCAATTGATATTCACAAATGGATCTGCAAAATATCTGGATGTTGAGACACAGATATCATTACATTACTGTAACCACTGCCATCAGACTTTATAATGGTTAGCAGAAAAATTTCAGCATCAGGAATGGGTTCTTAAACTAATCTTCTTCTCTGTATCGGAAGCGATTGCTTGGTGTGTCAGATTTCTGGCATATCTTTTTACCTCTAGGATGGGTTTGCCTGGCTGTTGACTGTTGGCTGAGCCTCACATTCCTCTCTGGAGTGTGATAAGATAAAGGTGTACTTGTTAGGAGGAACCTCCCTGGACGCCACGCATGCAAGCCAGTTTGAAGTTCTAGCGAATGCTCTGCTAGCTCATTGCTTTTCCTTTTGCTACATTTATTACAAGGCTGTCAAACGGAGCTGGATGTTTACACTTTAAAAGCAGCCGGTTTAAAAAGAAGAAGAAGATTCCTTTCTTGCAATAATTGCACCAAGCACTCAAAAAGGGAGATTTGTATGTAAAGAAAAGCACATACCTTATAGGCATTATTAAAAGGTGTGGTGTTAGAAAGGAAGTGAAAACCAATTCCTGCACATCCAGACATTTCTGTCCCATTCAGAAGATGGATTTTGTCAACGTTCCCTCTGACCAGGCTAGACTTTACCAAATACCATATTTGTGACTTAAATGGTGAAGTTTCACTTTTGGAGGTACAGCATGCAGCTATGAAATTCCTCCGTGTTCCTTGATTAAGTTCCAAGGTGGAAAGAGATGTTGGTTTGTGAAGCAGGGACTTTTGACACCTCTTCTTTACAAGCGATCCCAATTGTTGCATTTGCTGTCCGTCTTGAGATGTGTCTTCCCTTCACCTGAAAGTCATCAAATGCCTTATCTTATATGTGTGCCTCTGGTTTTACAGAACATCTTGAATGCCATGAGGGATATGGTGAAACACAGAACATCCATCTTCATTGCACACAGGTTGTCCACTGTGGTGGATGCCGATGAAATAATTGTCCTCCATCAGGTAAGAACCAGCTTTTAGGCGAGAAGTTCCTTCATCAGCCTTGCCAGAGTCTGCTGAGGGTACATCATTTATGCGGTTGTGCACATTCGTCTGTACTCCTGGGGAGGAGAGAGGAGAACGCGATGTACTGGCCTTTTAAGTGGATTACCATTAATTAGTTTCACTGGGTGGCTTAGTGCTGGTTTTGGAGCGTTATGCATTTCTTAGACTCTCGCATTTTTATTTTGCTGGCTTTCCAACTTGTTTCTAGTTCTGCTTTTTACCACGCCAGTAACCCCATCACTTTTCAGGTACGTACGTCATTTTGCTTTTCAGCAGAAGGAAAAATCAGACAATAAGATCACGTCCCCGTGGACCTTTCCAGTTTCCGCTGTATGTGCTGTACATTCCGTAAACAATTCTCTGAACTTTTCTGGGACGTTTTATTTACGTAAATGTTGTTTTGTATCCTACCTCTCTACCCAAGTGGAAGGCAACTAACAGCACGAACAGAAAGCACATTGGAAGGTGGATGAGCTTCCTGCTGGCCTGTTCTTCCTGTAACAGGTTCCCGCTAGCCATCTTCATTGGGTTTTTAAAACAATACTTTCTGTTTTTATTTCATGAACCAAATCTAACAGTGTGATATAGAAAGGACGAGTTGTATGAAATGATAATTACTGGATATTTTTAAAGGCCCTATTAAATTGGCTCATTAGTGTAATGGAACAGCTGGGACACCGAGGCCCGCAAGGGGGCTTCCTTTGGTGAGCCCTCACTCAGGGAAGACCACCCCCCCCAAGGGTCTCGACGAGGTTGTTTGATACACGTCTGACTGCCAGCCAGCTCGTAAAATGTCAGGGACTTATTTTCCACGGGAAGTTGCTTTCTGGGGCCCTTCTTGCTTACAGGGGGCCTTGGGCCAGTCAGTCAGATGAAGGTGGGCTAGAAGAAGAGGAAGATGTGGCATGGAGAGGTGGAGGGGAGAGGTGTGCAGGCATTGGGGTTGTATATTCAGCAACTTTCCTGCACCATATACAGATATTTACACTAAATTTAGCATGCAATAAAATGCCTGAATATAAATGGTTGATCCTTTTAAAAAGGAGTAGACAGTGATCTTATCGCTAGCTTTTTTTCTGGATGGGTAGCTTTTTATTCTCTTAAAACAGACAGAGGACAGAGATCATATGCTGTCTTTTTCAAATCTCTTCCCCTCCCCAATATAAATTGGAGTGACCTGCTATGAACTTGATTAAAAAAAAAAAAAAGGCTGTTGAAAGCAGAAGGAAAATGCATATAATGTGAAAGGAGCCTTGGTGATTTACCACTGTGCTGATCCAATAGATGTTGCAAGACTTCAAGCTTCAATTATAAATCAGAAATTAAAATCAGAATTGTGTTACCGATGTCATTGTGACCTTCGGCGGTTGTAGTGCCAAAAGATAACAAATCCTTAATACAAATCATGGCAGTTCTAAAAGGCCTTTGAAGTACCTCTTCTTTTTTCCTTCTGTTAATAGAAATCCGGTTCTTTGACTTGGTCATTTGTGGCTTTCAGCAAAAAAACACAGTGTGCATGTATTGCCAGTTATGTATTCACACAGTGATTGCATAGGACTTTCATACCAATTTGATTTCTGTTTTGTTGTTCTTATCATTTATAAGGCTTATAACTTACTGTTGCAAAGCAGACAGACCAGATCATCTTGATTTCAACTTGGTTTCTCTTAGCTTTGTGGTCTTTTTCAAAAAGTCCACCTTTTTATAAGGCACTTGCTACTGTCACTAAGCAATATGTGTTTTTAGCTGATCTTACTCATCTGCGCTCCCATGTTTTTAATGCTAGCGTGTAGGAGCAGAAAGGAGGTCTTTTAGCTCTTTTCCTGCCCAGGAAGTTCAGAGGCAGATTCTGCTTGGGTAGCCTGTCTTTGTTGAGTACATCTAGATCTAACTGTGATGAAGGGCCAAACACAGAGAGCAGGAAGCTGTCCTGTACTTAGTCAAGCTCTCTCCCCACCTTGCCTAGTCTTGTCTACTCTCAGCTGGCAAGAAATTGGACTTGGGACTTACTGCATGAGTTTGCCTGTCGTTATTTCATTGGTTTGCTATCGATTTGAGAGGATGCAGAATTCAGCCTCCAGAAAGTCTTGGTGTTTCATGCTTATCTTCTAAAAGAATAAAGAAATGTCTAGCCTGTCTGTCTGCAAAGTGAAGCTCAGAACTATGTGCAACATTCAAAGGCAGCAGCAGAAACAGGGCTGAAATAATATTTCCACTGGTCAAGAAGAGGTGCAACCTTTAATGCCCCGTCCCTCTCTAATGGTAGGTGAGAACATGAATAAATGATGCAGAATTGCGGGGATCGGGGAACTTGAGGAATAAATGTGTGCATTGGAATAACCTCATGCCATCTGTAGATGGTAGCTCAGTACAGAGTTTATGTTGCCTAGGAGAAGGCTTTAAAAAGCTGTGTCTTGAGTATGTAAATGGTTTACATCGATCTTGCCTTCCTATGCCAAGTGGGTACAGCCATGTGTTTCTCTGCCTCGCAGGCCTCTCCCCGGGAGCGCCTTCAGCATGCAGGGCTGCCTTAATCCGAAACGCCACCCGTGGGGGGGGGTCTGCTGGCTCAATGCTTGCCCCCTTCCTTCTCTGGGTCGCGGGCGAGGCGCCTTCCCATCTCCCAAGAGCCGACGCTCTTTGATCACCGGCTTCATGTTTCTTTAAAACAGGGTAAAGTGGCAGAGCGTGGCAAGCATTTAGATCTCCTGACCAGCCCCAGCAGCCTCTACTACGAGATGTGGCACACGCAGAGCAGCCGGATGATGAACAGAAACACCAGTGAACGGTGGGAGGAGAGGAACCACCACTTGTCCAAGGAGGAAGAAAGGAAGAAACTCCAGGAAGAAATCATAAATAGTGTGAAGGGCTGCGGGAACTGCTCGTGCTGAGATGGAATCCCGTTTCCTTCCCTTTCCAGCAATTTAATAACAACTTTGCACCGGCCCTGTTTTCCGCTGCATTCAACAAAATAAACAGTTCCATATAGACTTTGCTGGCCTAGTTAAAAGGCTTCTTTCCCTCCGTGGAACATCGTTTCTGTAACCAAAGGATTCAACATAAATGTCCGTGAGCATCTCTGATAGTTACTGAGATCGGTGGGAACAGGTTGATGAGCCCGTGTACACTTCCTCTTCACCTCGCCCTGACAATTCCTTGTAAAATGGCATAAATCCCATCATATGGAGGGTGTTGAAATGTTTCTGCTACGAAGTGGAGTGTTTATACTTCCTTTCAGCACTGCTGGTGGGCTACACATGTTTTTATACATCATCAACATTACAGATGTTTTTAACAAGCATCCGTTTTCTCAAGTGTGTGCACTAACAGGAGAAGGGAAGCTGACCTTCTTTAAAAAACCTGTTGGATGTGATAGTATTTTTATCCTTTTATACAGAATAATGGACATCAGGTCTTTGGTAACAAACTCCAGTCTTTTGCCATGACACATTCCCTCAGTTGTCCCTATAAAAATAATAATAATAATACTTTCCATGAGAACTCTGAAAATTACAAACAAGATCTGGGTCTGAAAATGATCAGAGCATCTCTCAAGGCAAAATAAGAAAGGCCAGCCCATCTATATTTTTTGTTCTTCCCAGAAAAACACAAGGAAATGATGCTATTAAATTCTAACAAAAATTCAATATAAACATTATGAGTCTTATTGTCTTGCCGATAATTCAGGCTTCCATACTGAGGTGCAGAATGCATTCAGATAGATGGGCACAATTTGGAATACCTGTCAGTTGAACCCTATTCAGTTAATAAGTATTGCTGAAGAAAATTGTTTGAAAATTTGGTGTGTTGGGTTTATGAAATTGACCTTGATTAAAAAAAAAAAAAAACACTGTTCAGCAGATAATGCACCATGAGGATGAGTAACTTTCCTGTTGTGTCTGCCTTGCTAATGTGTGGTAATAGTTGGAATTGCTTTTAATTTAGGATCTGTCTTTGCTTGTTCTCTACCTGGATGTGTCTTTTCCTTGAAGTTAGTGGAGAGATGAAAATGAAGTATCTTTTTAATTTAACTAGAATGTGTGATAGAAAGTTTTCTGGCGCTCCCTTCCCTCACGGTCATTGTGAGCATTCAGAAAAAGAGGGGAAAGCATGACATCAATAGCAACCCCTCTGTGTTTGCTTGTTCCCCCCCCCCTTCCAGCAGTGTGAAAGTGCTAAGCTCAAACGCTCATCTGTCTTGAGAGATCTCTGGGTGGGTGTCCAGGTGTGCCCCTTCCCTCTAAAGCTTCCTCGTCCATTATAATGGAAGAGAGATGCTCCATTCATGCAGTCATCCACTGCTGAAATGGCTGAGGAAGACTACGAATGCCATGCACACCTCTTGAAGCTCTGCATCGGTTGGTTGCTCCTCCTTTAGAAGCTCCATTCATTGTTGTAAATGTCCTTGACCGTGGCCAGTGCTAGCGTTGGCCGGTATAACGTGACGTGTGTAAGCAAAAAAGAAAAGAGAGGTGGCCAATTTTTGGTGTGCTGCGTCTTTGGTGCTCTTTGCCCCGCTCACTGCCTCTAAATCTCCCTTGGTTTAGTGCACAGGCTTTCAGTCAGAACTCTGCACAGCCAAGAAGTCTTTCAAAATGCTCTTGGCTTGCACTTCGGTGAGCGGTGGGAGGTCACCTGACTTATTTTCCAGGAAGTGGGCTGGGATGCATTGATGTAGGCATTCTCATGTTTGTTTTTTTCTTGCAGCGATCAAGATTTCTATTTGTCAAACAGAGTTTGCTTCCCTTGATGAAGGATGTTTCCCAACATTGCACATTCAAAGTGGAATGGATAGACCACAACTCCCATCCACCCCAGTTGGCAGCAGTCATGCTGGCTATGGATTATTAGAGTGGCAGATATCGGCAGGGGGGGGGATTTTGGGAAGGCCCTGCTAGATCACCCCCCTGTACTTCTACAATGACTTTGGGAAGTCACTCAACCGGCCTGGCAGGTTTCTATTCCCGGTGAGGTCAGAAGCGGCTCTTCCTTGGTGGAGCGTAAAGGCAGGTTTTATCTCAAGATGGCCAGAGACCATCATCATTCTGGTTGCCTTCTTGGCTGGCAGTTGACAGAAAGGAACATCTAGAAATGAGCTCTCATCCCTCTTGCAACCCAAGTACAGCCTCACATATGAAGTAACCAGAGCAGTTCTGCTAATGTCAGTCTCCGTGGAAGAGGAGACCTCATCGCTTTCTTTAATTTCTTGGTTATGCAACGCCTCTATAAGATAGATGTACCATTTCTGAATAGATTCCTTCAAAACAGAATAAGTCTGCCTGAATAACAGGAAAAATGTTGTAGGAATCAACATGTCAGCCATTTATGTTTCTTCTGCAGTTGCTTTGACCTTTTATTCCCCCTATAATTTTTTTTGCACCAGAAATTGCAGTTAATTTTATTTTTAATACCCGCTTTGACCACCAGGTTCAAAATTTGGATTGTAAATCACATGCAGGGTGTTCATTTCGGTTCCATGGAACAGGGTGCAGCTTGAGAAGTACAGATAACCAGTATCCAAAAATGAAAAAAACACATCCCTCCACAATATAACTGATGTATATACCCTGTTTCCCCAAAAATAAGACAGGGTCTTATATTAATTTTTGCTCCAAAAAAGCATTAGGGCTTATTTTCAGGGCATGTTTTATTTTTTTTTCATGTACAACAATTTACATTTATTCAAATACAGCCATGTCATCATCTTCTGGCTGCTGCCCAAGCATGGAGGGCAGTGTTTCACTTCACTAGGGCTTATTTTTTGGGTCAGGCTTATATTAGAAGCATCCTGAAAAATCCTACTAGGGCTTATTTTCAGGGAAACAGGGTAAAATGTTCCTTCAGAAGCCTTTTTTATCCCAAGTCATGTGTCAATAATTATTACTGGAATAAATGATCTGTTTCTTTTTGAATAGAAATGGGTCTCTAACTGAAATGATTCTTCATCGCAGCAGCTTCCTCAGCAGTGCCAAGAAGAAAGCCAATATTTTTCTGAACAGAAGTTGAAAGGCTGAATAGCACGCTTCGTCCACCTGGAGAAAACAGCTTTGTGATCATTCTTGGATCAAACATCATTGTTTTGTGTGTGTGTGTGTTTTGCAGCATTCAGTCATGGAAATGGAATGAGAGTGCGCTACAGCGCTTCGATTTCTAACAATACCCAATGAGAAAGGTTAGAAGGGGCACCCTTCATGTTATAGCCCCACCTGTATAGCATAAAAATCTCCAATTATGAGAATGGTAATAGCAGCTATAACAGAATTCTCTTGGACTGCTTCGTTGGATTCTCTAAAACGGCATCTTTTAATCCAGCTCTGGCCACTGTTGACTGCTTAATTCTTTCTTCCTCAGTTTTGGGAGATGTTGCTTACCAGTGATGGGGTGCAGTATGTGACTGGAAACCAGAGTAGATCCATGCAGCTCCCTGCATTTCAGTTAGCCCCTTGTCTCTTATTTCTAATCAATGATTGGAGCTAACGGCAGACGAATTTGTGGGGGGAACGTCCTTCCCCCCCCCCGTAGGACTTGGACTCCTCGTTCTTTGTGTATGCTTCCAGACGTATGAAATGGTCCTGCCTGAGGCATCTCCTTGCTTTGGATCAATTTACATTGGCCAGAGCAATGGGGAGGAACCTGCTTATTCAAGGAGGCGGTTCATCTCCTCCCCTGACTCCTGAGCCCCTGCTGAATGGTGCCAGCATTAGCCTTGACTCCAGCTGACTTAAGAATTTATTTTGTTCATGTTTGTTATTACTATGCCTGTCCTTCAAGGAGCCTTGCTCAAGGCTTGTGAGATGATAGAGGCTGAGAGAGGACGGAAGGGGTGGGTTTTCCAACCCCAGCGTGGTCATCCAGCTACATCACAGTGTTGGTCTTTGGAGAACAGTGGAGCTAAGGACAGACTAGGGGAGCCAGGCACCAAAGGCAGCCCTGCTTGCTTGCTGGAGACCCAGAAAGTGGGCCAGTGGGAAAACCTGGCAGAAGGCTGACATCCCTGGGTAAGCAGGTTTCCCAGCAAGGTAAGTCATGTCGTCAGTTCTCATCGTTTCTCAGCCCACTATTGTTTGTTCGTTCATTCATTCCGGGTGATTTCCAGCAATAAAATTAACAAAAGATCCAAATCCCATCCAGTCCAGAAATATAAAACAAATATGATATGAAAGGACAACAGATCTAAAAAAAAATCAAGATGGTGACAACGGACAAGATAAAAATTACAGAATATAATAGTCAAAATAAGACTTAAGTGCCCAACAATTATGTGCACCTCGGCTTTGTTGAAATGCAAGTGTACAGTCAGTTTGACTTCTGAAGTTCTGCGAGAACTTTCTAGCTTCCTGGAAAAGAGGATGTTCAACATAAGGCATCTTTTGGATGGAACTAAACAGCCTCTGACAGCAGTCGCCCTGCCTTGGAGAACAAAAGAAAGGAGTCATCAGGACTGTTCTACCCTGTACCGGAATGCCAGTTCTCTCTCAGACACATTATAAAAGGAATAGGGACTTTTCTGCCCTTGGAAATATAGCCATTGACCTTTCACGCTCAAGACTCTTGTCCTACTTTATTGGCTACCCATTGCGAAACCATGCACCAAGCAGGACTTGTGAAGAACAGATCAAGGACCCTTTTGTAGCCCTCATCTTTCTCAAGCAATGGCCATGTCAGCGGTGAGCAATTGAGTTGAGTTGAGTTGCAGGGGTGAAAGCGTTGTAAGGCAGATCCTTAAGAAGACATTACTCTGATGTCTTGTTGGTTTGAGCATTGGCGGTCCTATTAAGTTCTGGAGAAGGGGTACCAGACACAGAATCACTCCTAAGGGATTCATATATTTCTCTGGAGATTAGAAAGAGTTAGGTGTTTCTTGGTGATCCAGAGCATCTTTTCAGTCACCAGTACTTCACCGCGATCTTACTTTTCTCCTCTTCAACACAACAGTATTATTACATTCCTGTGCTCTCCTTCTTCAGGCACAAGCTATTGTACTAAATTGCATGGTGGGCTTGTTCCCTTCCACCTCCACTTCCTGTGATGTGAAGAGAAGTCAACAAATCTTTAGAAACCTGCCTACGGCCACATGTAAAGCTGAATCTCAAGGGCTAAAAGACAAATGAGCCATCCCCAGCTCTCCAGCATAATTCACTGATATTCTTCTGTGCTTTGTAGCCATCAATAAAATTGTCAAGAAAAACACTTACATCACTCCAGCCTTAAAAGGTGCCCTCTGCAGCTTTCAGCCTGAGGTGTGGGAGAGAGGGGTAGAAGAAAGAAGGATTTTGCTTTAGTGTGTGGAAGTAAAATGTGTGAAATCCCTTACTTGCTGCATTGTTTTGAACTGATCTTCAAACAACGTGCTCTGATCCCAGATTTCATTAAGTCTCGTATTAGAAGAAGAGAACATTTAAGAATAGAATGTAACGCACAGGTCAGCTCTTACTAACTAGTTGAAAGTACTAGTATGTTACTAGGCAAAAAGGGAAGAAAGGAGGCTTTTGAAACATGGCCTTGTAGGAGAAAAGTTTGAGCTAAGTTGGAGAAAAAGTAATAAAGGAATCTTGGAAAGGAGTAGAGATGAACAAAGTTCTAATGTAGAGAAGAGCCAATCAAGTACGGTAGGGCAAAAGAGAAGACCTTGGGATTAATTCAAAGTATAATGGAAGAAAAATTGAAAGGATGACACTCGGAAAAACCCAGATACAACAACACAAAATTTAAAAGCAGGGTGAGGGGAGGGGGAAAACATTGTTGACTGGGAAAATCCATACAGAAAAGCATGGAAAGGAACCTCTAGCTTGAAGCTTGAGAAGAGGAAACTAGGATTGGGTTTGGTTGCTTTGTCTAAATGCAAGTGGATAATCCACGTCTAGTGGAAATCTGGAAGGAAGGGTGCCTTAGCATTGGAGGACACTCATGAATGGAGAACTATGGAAAGGCTTGGGGATTAGAGAGTTGCAGCCTTCATTTTTTGCCTTACTACCCATGTTTGTCTTGCATGGATTCTAAATTATCGTTTTAGAACTGCAGGGTTGGAAGG